ACTTAGTCTAATGCATTAAATTTGAAACAATATCTCTTTCCTCGATGCTCTCCTCTGCTGCAAACTGGAGCTTTTACCTTAATCCTACTTTACTTGTTTACGTTTGTAGTTGATTGTGAACAAAAAGTGTCAGAAGTTTGATTACGGTGAAGCTGGGAACATGAAACACTACAATCAGGTAACGCATTATACCAGTTTGAGTTTGTGTTCATGTTATGTAAGGTTTCCATCAGTTTTACTGAAACAGAATAACAAAATGAATACAAATAGTTGCATAAGTGACCGTCACTTGAAATTAGTATGCCTAATCACATGATGCCATGCTGGTGTCGGGAAGTTGTTTTCAGAGCGTTCTGAGAACCTACCTACGTTGATATTTCTGTGGATAAGCAGAATCGTGACATTTTCGGCTGGTTCAGAAGAGGGTTGCCAAGACGTCGGCCCTGGTTTTGTCGTCAGTTTTAATTTTTTTCTCTTTTCTCTCCAGGCCACCGCTCCTCTCTATAACGTGAAAGACATGACTACCCCAACTGTGCTGTTTGTAGGGGCCCACGATGTTCTCGGTGACCCAGCGGATGCGGCAGCACTTAAGCCGCAAATCTCTAACTTAATACACTATGAAGTTATTCCCGGCTGGAATCACTTGGACTTTCTATACGGGATAGACGCAGCAAAAATTTTGTATCCCAAGATTTTGTACACTATGGAGAAGTTTGAATAGGGCTCTAAATCTGTGCACCTCGTAACATTAATATCTGGCCCTCGGTTGATCGGAATTTACACTCTAGATTCATTCCAAGTTATTCAACGGATATTCAAGCGAAAGATAGTTTAAACATTTTTGTAAAAAGCAATTTACCACTGCATGTCGAACACGGCAATGTGTGCGATCGCTCTCTAGCTAATGTTTAATAGTTAATTTAAAAAATGGTTATAAAGTTAAAGGATTGCATTTGGTGTAGGGCATCCATAAGTGCATTGATTAAAGGTCATGGTCTTGACGTTAAAATGAACTGCACCATTGTTTTGATGACTACGACGTGATGAGACAATTATGTCCCAAAGAGACAGATTTGGGTGAATACAGGAGCTCCTCGGTTCACGTTTCTCTTTCCGCTAAGTTTGCGGAGCATTGCAGGTTACCCCAGGATTTCGTCAGGTTTTCCGGTAGTTCCCTTTTAGTCATGTACTTATTGAGGGTAAGAGTCTTTCCCGTGAACACAACACAAACCCTCATCTCTTATCTTATTGATTGTAAGGAAGACAAGGAACGTGGTTCTGACTCAAACTAACCTGACACGTGTTTATCTGTTTTTTCTTTTCTTTTTATTTGTTATTTATTTGCTCTTTCATTCTATTGAAGAAGTTATATTCATGATTTAATGGCATACATAAAACAGCTGTGCTAGTCGTTATAATTCTTGTCGAGTTAATCCAGGTGGATGATCTTATTAAGTTGACAATGTAAAACCCCAGCTTGGGTTAATTAAATGGCGGAAAACGTTTTAAAATTTGACCTAAAATTTCTACACGATTTTTCTTTTCCATTTATTTGTTCAGCTTGGAGATCTGTCAGAGCATTTTATCTGGGTTGCACGCTTGACATGAATCTCTTTTGCGCTATTTCCCCTTTGTTTAATTACCGCCCTCATCCCCGCCAACCCTTCTACTGTGGCGAATAGTCCCTCAATGGGTGCAAGAGTAGTATTACTTGGAGTTGTTGATTTGATACGGGATTTGATTGAAACATTACGTGTCTTGTCCAACAAACCGAAGACGGCTGTTGACTTGAACATTCTAAAAATATACCCATCGAACTAGATAGAAAGTTCCTTCAACTCGATGGAAAAGATAGAAGTTGAGCAATACTAAAGATTGTTATCGTCAAAGTTCAAATTGGTCATAGCGTCTCATCGATGGTGTAATTTAATTTAATTACCTAGAGGTTTACTTTTTCATGCCTTAACTTGATACTGAATACATCCCATCCCATTATAGACTAGTAGTTACAGTCAGTTGTATTATAAACGAATCATTAAGTATTATTTACAGAATTTACTGAAACCTAAGCTTGTTACGGACCAGCTTTTATTATTTAAGTTAGCCTTTCGTTCTGCTGTTCAAATTCGAGCTCTACATCATGGCGAAGTCTTCTAACGCTTTTTGGGTTGCTACATCTGTTATTCTGGTTACTGTAATGGCTGGCAGTGTAATGCTGTGGAGCAAAAGGGAAACATCAGGTCAGTTATAATTAAGTTCAATATGTCGTAACTTCAATGCCCAGTTGGCCTTTAGTTGATGACCGAGTAACACTTAGACAGAACTTTTGGCCCCAGAATGACCCATTCCAAACTCAGTTATGAATCTATGATTGACTGGTCTTGTTTTCCACAAAAAGGGGTCTGAAGTGAACAATCGAAAAGTTCAGCGAGTATTCGAGAAACTGTTTGCTTATAGGGAATAAAACCTACGTAGCGAAAGTCACGTTTTTTGCTTGCATTCCTTCGATCTCTCACAATTCTCAGTTGGGGGTCTGATATACCTACAGATCGAACATGTCGAATCAATCACTAAAGCTAAGCCGTTCATTTCACACATTGAAATCATGACATCAATACTAAATGGGAATATGGGCTAAAATCGAGAAACAAATGCGTTGCAAGTTCGATTTTTCTAATGCAGTGCTGGTCAACTTCCACGACACCGGGTCAAGACAACTTTTGATTAATTGGACCATGTCTTCAAGAGAAGCAATCACGTCCAGAAAACGCAACATTTACCAAGTGTTTTACAGATGTTTCATAACGTTTGCAAAAGAACAGGTTCTCCCTTTAACATCATCTCTTACGGATGAAATAATATACAATTTTAAAAACCTGCACTTGACTTTCAGAGAAATGATCTCTCAGAGATTTCAAGTTTATATATTTATAATCAACAGCAGTCGGTAGACTTCGAACTGCATCAGTGAGTTACCTGATATTCTGGCTGTGTTAAATACTAAAAGCTCGAGGTCGATTACAAAATCTTAAATCTTCCTGCACTTATCATGTTGTACGTCAAATCAACGCAGACTCTGCAATCAAGAACATGCATGCCAAGTTTATCATAAAGATTCCTCCAATGATTTTTCCCAGAGATGGGTACTTCAGTGGGAGTAATTGATCAATTTTTGGGAACAGGGATGGTGTTGAAGGCTTCTCACTGACTATGACCCTGTTTCGGACAAAAAAATAGAAATCAACAAACCTTCCCTGAGTAGGAAAAAACCCATCAATTAGGGGACCTCTTTGGACAAATATTTTGTGGACAAATATTTTTTAATACCTTATTCAGGAAAATCCTCATTTGCTGTAATTTCGATACACAAATATTACCAACGCGAGTTACAAAACAAGTTTCGACCAAGAACTCGTCAGTTGATCGCTATACAATATTAGAGTGAACGTAAGCATGCTTCCGTGTAGCAACATGTGAATAAGATAACCTCTCAAGTGAAATCTCCCAGAAACTACTTTTTTCATTCCACTTTTTTCTTAATTCACCGAGTCGCTGGGGTAAGGCTCATTCGAGTATTTGCGATATTTGATCATGGAACAAACTTGACTTTGGAATGTCGTCTAGCTCACGGTTCATACGATTTTAGGTAAACAGCGATACTTCTCGAATGAATAGAAGTAAACAATATTTGGGATATCTGTCAACACATCCGACTAGCTAATTGTTTTTACGCCAAAGTAGCTTTACCTTATCTTTAAGAAAATCCTAACAAAAATGACTAAGGCTCATTCAATTAACCTAAATTCCTTGTTCTTAACAAACATGCAGTACAAAGAAAAATAAATGAAAAGTCAAAACAAAACCCGTGTAATAAAACTTTGACAGTTTTAAGTAATGTTACCTGTACTTACTTCCAAGTGTCATTTACTCTTCTACAAATACGTCAAAAGAGAACTTACAAATGTGTATGACTGTACTACGGGTCACGGACAGCCTAGCCTATACATACCCACCGAGACAACAGCTGCGAAAAAGACTAGCAATCTACATTCTTCTTGCCCAGAACTAAAAAAAAACCAACTACAACAACAGCCAAAAAATTGCCTCACAAAGGCTGTTAAGGGTGATAATCTCGCATCTTAAGCTATCCAAGTATGTTTCAGGGCCATAAAAAAGGAGCAGCCTAGCCCGAGGCTAGCAAAGCAAGACATTTAAAAAAAATCTATTTAGTCATCAGCATTTATACAATTGAGCAAACTCAGCAATAAGAACGAACAAGAGATTATATTCTCTTGGAACGACTGAACAAACCACCCAACTTGCTCAGAAAATATTTGAAAGGAAATGAACTAAATCAACTCGAAAACAAAATTATAATTTTCCCACTTTCAATAACTATTTCCATAAGCGGCTGCTGATGATTACATTACATCGATGTAATGGGCGGGTGGGGCGAAAGGTGAAATCCAAACTCGAGAGCGGGCTCGGGAGACAGATAATCGGTTTTTATTGAAACTTCCACTAAATAACATCTCCTATTGTTTTATTGTTCTGTTTCAGGAATGAATCAAACTCCGCTAATTCCCTATCTCTCATTATCGTCTTTCAATAGTGAGCACTATTTTTAGAATAAGAATGATTTACGTCATTGAATTGAGAAGTCGCAGTCTCTTTGGACGAGCGTTCTCTATCGTCGAAACTTAAAATTTTAGAATTAGTTCATTTGAATGGAAGACGTTGTAGTATCCACTTTGCGTGCGGGCCATTAGCAACACGCACAAGTTGGTTAGGAACCTCTCAGCAGTGTTTTGTTTTTTCGTGATGTCCGCCGGCACGATGCTCAAACATTCTTTAATGACTCCACCTTTTGAATTCAATAGTTCAAACGAGACAAAGGCTATCTCAGTGTCATCACGCTAGACAGTCCGTACGCTCCCATCCGACACACGGCAATGTTGATAACAGACAATTTAAAAACGCGCGTCAACCCGAAACGGTTCAGTGCCACAGTGAAGTTTGTCGTGTGAGGAGATCGAGGATTTTCGAGGTTGTGATTACTAAATTGAGCATTCATGGCCAAGGAAAAAGGCTATTTTCCACTCTGTACAGGAGTTTCCATCGCCTTGTTAGTGGTTGTGGCCTGTCTTCTTGTTATTCTTAATAGAGGCAAGTAATTTTATCATTAATTGAACTTTATTCATTTGAAAAAAATATCAACAACCATAATATCATCAAACCAAAGATTAATCGCCACTCTCTGTGACTGAGAAGTTGATTTATGAGAATAGAGAGACTTCTCGATTAGCCGGTTAAGTCGCTTAAAAGCGATTTTTCTTTCCACCCATTTCAACAGATTCATACTGCCCTTTAACTTACAAAATTTTAAAATATAGAAACGGGATTGTAAAGCGCGGTAAGGAGTGACTACTATGATGAAATATTTGAAATATAAATTAAATCTAGGGAAACAGGACACATTTCTCTCAGCAACTTTATTTCAACTTAAAACCTTTCGCAAAGAAGACTTTGAACGTGACTTCGCAGTCTTCGCGTGGTTAATAATCATACTTCAAGTGCTGATTTGATAAGTAAACTTCTTCAATCATGTAGGACTTCGCTGTTCTCAATTATACCAATTCATTCTTTATCATTCGCAATCAATCACGTCAAAAGAAATTTAGGGTATTCTAATTAGTGTATCTGTTACGAAAACTTGCGTCCACTCTTCCTCGGTAGGTAATCATCAAGGAGAGTTTATAATGCATACTTCAAACGTGCTTATCTTGCTTCAGTTTCTTTCTTTCCGCCGATATACCGTGTGTAGAAGAGCTCTAGGCTACAATTGAGAAATTGAACGTTTCCGGCCCAACTCCTCCCATTTATTTTCGACCGATCACGCAAAGAACCTCATGGATCATTGGTCAATGAGAACTGCTCTCGTGAAATCGGTTTCGTGCTTTTTCGTGTCAACAAGGTTTAGAAATCAATATCCTACTTGTTGTTTATAAGGAAACTGAACCAATTTATTCATAAACAGGATTTATTAGTTTAATTAGTATAAGCTACGATCAAAACAATTTTTTGTCCTGTATTGAACAAGCCCGATGCACGATTTTTTAGGGTTTTTTTTCTTTTGCTTTCTCGTTGAGCGTTTTGCACATCACAGTTCATTTCACCTAGTTTAGTCTAATACAGTACCACGTCGTTTCAGTTGTATCCTTTTAATTGATGGCCTGGTGAGCAATTGACGTGTTAATTTAAGTAGTTATTCAGTTTTATCAAAATTCGATAGCTATTTTGCAAATTGTGAAGGGAAGTTGTAGCCGTACGTGACTCAGATAGATTACGTGGTAATAATGTCATTTTTATAATGAGAAGTGGATAATTAAGATTTCACTTATCAGTAATGAAAAATCCATCAATTTTACTTGAACTGTAAAAATATCAAACAAAAAAAAAAAGAGAAAAAAACGCGATGATCACCTTAGACAGTACTGCATCTCTGTTGTATCCAGCGACCTTATTTCAAATGGCGAAATACTTTAACTGCACTAGGCTTCATAGGTTTACATTGGAAATTTATTTCAGAAGCTCTTAAATGTTCATTCGCTAAGTCGAAATGATTTCGTGTTGCCACCCGTTTGGAACGCAGATCGAGTAGAGGAGCCACGGGTTTTTTATGCAGGTAGTGACATACAGTCTCTTTCTTTGATTAACGTCAATTGAAGCTTTGAAGTTTCATACAGTTTAGGTTTTACCTTGAGTTTTAGAAAGCTCTCACTTCATTTGGCGCGCCATACAACGATTGCATGTTTTACAGATGGAAAGCCTGATGGAATTTTATAATTATTCGCAATTTCGCCGATATGTTAATGAGACATTTTAATTAGACGAGCTAAGCCTGAGACATCATATTTGGAGAAACAAGGCTTTAAAAGTTTATTTCATCTTGGTCTTCTTCGCTCACGTTATCATCTCAAGATTCCGCCTCCTCGAAAAATAGGAACAAAATACTCTCCAGGGTAGTTTTTTTTCTGTTTATTTATCAAACAAAAGTATTCTGCCGGCGTTGTCAGTTTGACCATAAATTCAGTTTTTGTCGGGACACAGAGAGGTGAATCAGCAACACCAGTTTTGATTGATCCCACATTCCTGTGAGTCAGCTAAGTATGAGTTTAGTGAAAAAATTCAATGAAGCCCATTTGGATGGGGAAATAACGGCAAGAATTTTTTTATTGATTTATCTTTCCCTCTAGACCCCAACTTAACTGATATTTACTCCGACTGGCTCTCTATGTTTTCCTCAGATAACACAGAGATTGCTACGGAACATGTACAAAACCCACGAGAGACTGCACCCAAACATAAGAAGAACATCTCACAGACAGGGAATTCTACTTTAATAACTGAGACAAAATCAACACATATTCACTACAATCGAAGGGAGTTCTGTCAAACGTGCTGTCACACACCACCGTAAGTATCTAAAACAATGTAATTTGGCTATCGCGGAGTTTGAATAATACTTCAACAGCTTCTTCATACCCTCCCCTCCCTTCCGCTTAATAAAGCAAATCCAAACACGCTGAGGGAAAAAAATTGGGATTGTGGCATTTTCGTTTCGGACAGTGCTCCACTCACATAGTGTCGACTCTCATTATTATTATCATTATTATTACTATTATTATTATTATTATTATTATTATCACGTTTCTTTAGAATAAGAATTTTCTCTTTGGTCGAGGACGGTCTCGTTCTAAAATGTTCACCACTATTTGAGTGACTCAGCCCTTGTACTACAAGTTGCAGTACCGGCTGATTTAAAATCAACTTCGTCGAAGTCCTTTATATTTTGAAAACGCGTTGCAACAATTTTAACTAAAGAAGTCGTCTATTTCTCGACAACACAGATGCTGGTACAAGAACCACAAAAAATGTAGCAAGTGTGCGAACAGCAGACAATCAAAGCTCTTGATAAAAAGAATTCTTCAAAGATCGAAGACGAAAGCGGCGAAACATCATCTCAGAAGGAATAACAAAACAAACTTGAAGGATTAATGAGGAACAATAAAGTAAAAAGAACAACATTCAACTTTAAATCACAGGAATTCTTTAGCAGATAGCTGGCCTCGCGCAAATTCTTCGTCTAGAGGGAGCTTCTTACTCAGGGAATTCGAAAAACAAGCGAGGAAGTAGGTCATATTCTGAATTGTCAAGAGGAAAATGAAATACTTGACCCTCAAAGCCATCAGTGCAAACTTAATGCACGATCTTTGTTGGCCTATTGTCACGCAAAGGACGAGAATATATCTAAGCAGTACGGTATCATCGAGACTGCACCTGGCCTACAGTTTACATATCCACGCATGTTCAGTTAACGCTTAAAAATCTTAGTCTCCCCTTCATGTCTCAAACACAGATTTTGAAATTCGAGAATTTTATCAAGATATTACCAATGTATTAAATTATATATACTCTATATCACATTTAAATTAAAATGTAAATAGGGTCAAACATCAAAGTCTGTATCTCAATTGAAACAGGCTACTTTACAGTCCAGCTCTTAGTGTTAGTTTCTTCTCTTCTTTTGTTTTAAGACATCTCATCTAAAAAGTTTAGCTGAGAGAGGAGAAATAATTTGAAGGGCTAAGTGAAGTTTCGATACACTTCGTTTTAAAAAGAACCAGCGAAAGAGCTCGGGGCTATGCCCCCTAAAACCGAGCTGGTGCCGCAATACATCTTAGGGCCTGTTAACATGGAGGTGGGGGACCCAAGGTAGGTGAGGTAACCCGCCTAGCCGTGTTCGAAAAATAAAAAAGCGTTTACGTGCAATCTTACAATCCCGGGGTGCTGGGGTGAGGTTTCTTGAGGTTGTTGTTGCGCTTGCAATTAAGGGCCTGTTTACACGGAGGCGGAGGACCCCAGGTAGGTGAGGTAACCCGCTTAGGTGGGGTAACCCGCCTTTCCATATAATTTCTTATTTTATCTTGATCACGTTTACATGATAGGTTAGGTCTGCCAGGTGGGGTAACCCTGTCAGCCGGGGTGACAATTTGCCATGTAAACGTCTCAAGGTGGGGTAACCCGCCTAGCCGGGGTCGCATTCATGGCAAAAAGCTCAAAAGCTAAACACGTATATTTTAAAAATGTGCATTTCCTAGCCGTCTCATGGCAGAAATCACCAGAAACCGCAACGGACACACAAGGAGTGTAAAATGTTCAAATGTGTTGTGTTACGCGGTGTTTGGTTTCGCGAGGAACCGTTGACTTAATACGTTATACGGAATAGTTTGGGAAACCAAATATGGTCGATTTACAACGCTAAATATTCCGAAATGTGAACATTTTACACTCCTTGTGTGTCCGTTGCAGTTTATGGTGATTTCTGCTATGAGACGGCTACGAAATGTACAAAGTTTTAGAACATACATGTTTCGCTTTTGAGCTTTTTGCCATGAGCGCGACCCCGGCTAGGCGGATTGCCCCACCTTGAGACGTTTACATGGCAAATTGTCACCCCGGCTGATAGGGTTACCCTACCTGGTAGACCGGGCAACCCGCCTAAGCGGGTCACCCCACCTATCATGTAAATGAGATCAGGATAAAATAAGAAATTATATGGACAGGCGGGTTACCTCACCTACCTGGGGTCCCCCACCTCCATGTAAACAGGCCCTTAGATATGTCTAAACTTTGTCAGTGAATAGTACTTTTTGCGCTCGCTGATTGGCTTATTCGTAAGTGATTGGCAAGGACCGTTCACCCTCAGAGCAACCGAAAACAAAATCTTGGGTCAAGAGTGTTACCCTTTGCATCTTAACATCAGAATGCAAGTTACCTGAGGTACTCTCGAGGAGAATTCGTCTAACGGTCAAGATCTTCCCGAGATCGCGATCGTTACCTTTATTCTCGAGACCTTTACATTTGATTCAGGAGTGGTGGTGTATGGAGAAATTAGATGCTTATCACTCTTATGGGTTTAAGAGTCAATTTCCGAATATACTTCAATGTTATGACCAACAGACACTAATCGTTTGGTCTCCATGTAGTCTAAACTGAATCAATTATTCACCTCAGAGTCAGTGATATTTACTTCCATTTTTGTGATTAATTATCCAACGAGTCAAACATGGACGGACTATGAAAGGATTATGCGGATTTTTAACCGCACTGTACAAAATGCGTGCTCCACAGCTGTCGGTCACTACGCTGACTCGCAGGAAGCAAGCCAAACTTTTGAAAAAAAAAAAACCGGCTGTTTTAAGGCGCGCATGCCCACAGTATGGTGGTGGAGGGTCATTTACAATAACAATCTCCACCATTAGACACACTGAATATTCTTTTATTTTTTTTATTGCTTTATATTCTATTTTGCTTTGTGAAGAGGCAACCAGGGAGCATGCTAATTTGAAAGTGAGCTGGTTATGTTGTGATATGATTCATATATGGTAAAAAAAGAATCTTTCACACAGAAGGAGAAATAATATTAAAGAAACTCAATCCACTAAAAATGTCTCTTCTTTCCATGCCGTTCGTTTCGAGTAGTGAGCATTTGTGCCCACATTCAACATGGTGATGCAGCATTGTCGCAAACTGACACCATTTAAAAACAGAATCATCGTGTGCTCAAACAAGTATAGTTTAGTCCATCACTGTCAAGGGGAATTTAAACGCTTCTTTAGCACAACATCTATGGGTGAGGGTGGTCATCTCTCCTGGGTCTGTGAATAAAGAAAGAAAATCCACATGAAAACGTGATAAACTCAGATGTACCGTCTGTTACTCGCCCGAGTCATCGTTATGTCCCAACACTTTCAATCCAACTATTCACTAACTGAAATGATCGAACTCATGATGTTACGTTAATTGAGGTAATCCGTAGTCAGCGCTTAACGTGACAGTTCAAGCTTGGGAAGACAGAAAACGTCAGCTCGGCCACAAATTTGCATGACCCGGAAACATATCGATAGTATTCAGTTATTACTAATGAGGCAAAAACGGAGAAATGGGACAGGTTATTACCGTGGAGCGGCTTTGACGATGTTGTCAACCCTAACAATCATTTCGGCTGCTTCTGCTGCTGACGCCAGGACTTGTTTCTTGACCTGGTAGGACTCAGTGATACCCATCTCAGCCATGTCCCCAATACTGCCCTGAGTCATGTCTGAACACAATAAAAGTAAGTTTCTTAAACTCTGTTCTTTCGTTCTTCAACAATTCTGCTCCACTCGAGATGAAATGCATCCCAGTTTAAGTATGAGTTAATGAAACTACTGGTTGTTGTTTGTCATTTTCAAATGACGAAGCTAAGGTTACGTTCGCAATATGATTATTCCGCAATTCGCGGTGTTTTTTTTAACTTACTAAGGCACCAAACAGACATTAAGGCGATATCTGCTGCTTCAAACATCCTAATTCCACAATAATATTTTCAGTCATCACTATCATGCTTAGAAGAAAAAACCCCTTCCATCTCTATAGCTAAATTAGTAGGAACTTGAATCTTCAGGTTACCAATCAGTCAGTTGAGTCCAACTACAAAGGGGAAAGAGTAAATATTACTGAAAGGAGTTCAATGACTGGCCCACCATAGGTGGATAAGGGCACTTGAACAAAAATAAGGCACTTGACATATATGGAGATTGCAATACTGAGAGGAAAAATACAAGTATTATCGAGCATTTCAACAGAAGCAAGTAATACTTACCCAAACCATAGGTTTTCTTTCCTTCTGTGTGAGCCGCTCGAAGTTTTGCCACCAAATCAGCACTGTCATACCCTGCATTGTCAGCTATCACGGTGGGCAGCTAATTTGTTAAACAGAACAATACATTATTACACTACCACCTTGATTCTGCAAATCACTTGATGTAAAGATCACATTGCCCATTACATTAATGTAATTAGATGTGATATTACAGGGCGACTACACCTACCGAGGTAATGTAAAATGACCAATTTGATAACAATGACATCTACATCACTTTTATAACGGTCATACATTGCTTTTTGAAGCGCTTTGATGACAAGACACTAGCGATTGCTTCGCCATTCTTTAACATAATTGCTGGCATGCTTTCGTCCATAGCACTAAACAGCACCATTGAATCTCGTTGGATCTCGGATCACTTTTTGTTTTCAAGAAAGTAATTAATAGTTCTATGTGACACCCTAACAGTCTATAGAACAGAAGTGTCCTTTTGTTCCCCCCACCCTCACCCCCCATGTCATTCCCTTGCTTGCACCCCTTTCTACCTGAGTACCTTGAATAGACTTCATTGTGGAGAGTGTATATTTTGAATTATTTTTCAGCTTGTACAGTTTTTCTTAACCTATACTCAAGTATATAATGTACCTGTCTCAATGCAGCTGCAAAAGCTTCCATAGCTGCAGCTTCTTTACCAGGAGTCTTTGCAGCAAGCTGTGAAACTGCATTGGCCATCAACATTTCTGAGGCACCTAACAGGTCAGGTAGTAGAGGGTCAACAATCAATTGTAAAGATTGAATATATGGCTAGTATTTTTCAAGATACACAAACCAAGATGGACATTTACAAGTTAGCTCTGCTAAGAAACACAACCACTACCACAAGCAAAAACAGTGAAGGGTAACCATCTCTATCTTCAGCATTTCAAGATGTTGCTATTATTAATATAATCAAAACTATAACAAAATTATCTAGTTTGATTGGTCATCAGCCCAATTTGTGCACTAATAAGACAGTGTAGGCATCATGCTTGTAATTGGACAGTGTAAAAGGACAGTTAAAGGGACAATTAACACATCATGCTTGTGTAAGTGGACAGAACGTGCCATATGTGCACAATGTTGTCTCGCATTTCGCCAAGTTAACTGTTGTTTTATGAAAATGTACAACTGGTGTCTAGTTTCTCAAATTTTGTCATAGTTTTGATTAATTGGTAACAGGACTTTGTGTCGTCCAATTCTGTCGGTAATCATAAATTATACTCCACTGGGTCCTATTACCATTATAAATTAACATTGGTGGGACTGACTAGTTTACACTGGTAAGAAGCCATTGTAACAAAGAGCTTCCACTGAAGATATAGGACTTGACTAATCCTACCTCCTCCACACACTGTTCTTGTTTCCTTGACAGTTTGAGTGAGAACACACAGTGCATCATGAAGTGACCGATCTGCTTCATCCAGGATCTGCTGTGTGGCACCTCTGATTACTATGGTGCAGGCCTCATTAAGCTTACAGCCAGAAAAATGAAGCAACTACAATAAAAATACAATATTAAAATAATTTAGTAGAGAGAACAGATCTCAGGCATAATGCTAATCATCTTCTTCCTTTTTTTTTTCCTGAACAAAACTACTAACTGTAGAGTCCACCTTTTGTCAGCCTTGATTGACAAACTCATTTCTCCATCTACAGAGAGGTTCATTTTAATTGTTTGGGTACAGAGGAACCTAAAGAAGGTTCTTTTACCAGCTGGCAAAAATAGTTATAAAAAAAAACCCAAAGGAATCAAATGAGTGGTTGAGTAAAAATGTGTTTTTCATAGTCAAATGTACAGTAGTTAGTTTGATGAGCAAGTTGGTGAGTTTAAAGGCAAGATGTATCAAAACAGTTTTAAGTGGATTACTTAATATATGCTACGGGTTAATTATTTGTAGTGAGTGCTAATGGTCCATTTAGTTCTGGCATCATGGGTGACATCCATTTGCCTTATTTTTTCCAGAAGTAAATGATCAACATCACTTGATATATTTCAGAAGACTGCAGTAAAAAGTGAATCCTTCCAACTAAAAACCAAACAGTGAAATCTTACCTGGTCTTCACCGATCATAACCTCTTCAATCACTTTACATTCCCCAAGTTTCACAAGCTCTGGACGGCCAAATGTTGATACAATTTCTCCACCTAAAAATATAAATAGCTAATTGAATTTTATCAACAATTTATGAATTGACCTCTACAGTTTTCAGGTACAGCACAAGTGAAGCAGTATAAGTTTAATGAAGAAAATTATTAAGGTTTACCTACCTAATACCAAAGCTAATCTCTCAACACCTTCAAAATCAGCATGTTCAATTGCCATGACACCAGCATCAGCAAATAACTGCTCTGGATAGTTATAGATAAGTTGTCTAAGAAAAAGAAAACTCAGTAAGTTCATCTCCCATACCACTTATCAACTGTTAGTAACAGTTTTGCATTTTACTTGAACTAACGATCAAAAAAAAAAAACCACCCATACATGTAATTTTGTACATGTGTATACCCATGTATGCAAAAACTTCAACACTCACCTATTAATAAAACAAGAAATATCGTGCTTAAGAATCATGTCCACTTTTTCTTTCATCTTATGCTGAGGAGAAAATTGCAACATGACAACTAATCAATTCCCATTTAATTTATTTTTATAAATATTTTGACAAAATGTAATAAACTTTGAAAAAAGAGAGTACATAGCACACAGAAAGACTACTTCAGTCTTCCATGCTAAAACTGAACCACCAAACGAAAAAACTAACCTTTTCTGCAAGCTCTAGTTCTTCTAGCTTTGCAGTTGATTCTACCCTCACTCGGGAACCAAATACCTTTTGAAAGACAACTAAAAGTTAGTCTATGCATCTAGAAACTATAATGTTCACATAAGAGATTGGTCCAATCAAAGAAAAACCTCTCTATAAAAGGTCATCGGGCATACATTGTTCCATAACTCACCTTGATTTTATCTGCATCCATTGAAGTGTTTGCAATGAGGATCTTTGCATTTTCTATTCTTTTTGGTTGATTTACACCAATCTTCTTGTCAAGCAAAAATCCTGTTATGATAGTGAAAAGAGTGAATTTTTATTTTCAAAAACCTTTGATTCATTCAAAAAATTATCATCACTTATCAAGATTGGCATGTTATTGACTACTACATACCTTCATCCAAGTATGAGTCAACCAGGTTTCCACCAAGTTTTTTGATGATCTGAATGGCATCCAAGTTTCCACTGCCCTGAAATTTCGAGAAAAACCAGACTTCTGTCTACATCAAACCATATCTTTCAAATGTAATCACTAATCAATGAACACTGACAAGAAATCCTAGACAAATCATTAACAATTATCTTATCATGACCAACCAATTTACTACAGTCCCAGTACAAGTTAACTATGCTTGTCACTCAATATACTTTACTAGTATAAATTATGAAATATGACAAGTAACAACTGTTACAATCGATATATGGCATCCCTACAATCTGGTATCCCCTGGCAAAAACCATTAAGGCATCTGATTGGTTGACTGGCCATTGCCAGCTTTTTAACTTCCTACCATTTGGAACTCTTAACCCATTAACACCCAAGATCTCATTAGTAATACTCCTTACTGTGTGCCATGTAATTCTTATGATGCTAGTACTGAGAATTTGGTACTGGATCAACTAGAAATCCTCAAAATTTTAAATTTTTCTTTATTCTCGTCACCTGTTTGATTGAGATTGTATTGTTATTGTAAGGAGAAAATCTGTCTTGGTCACCCATGGGAGTTAAGGGTTAATCCTAACCATTCAATTTGATTGAAGTTTACACAGAGTTTTCATTTCACACAGATATACTTACAACTTCATGTTAAAGTGATGACCCAATCAATGACAAAAATGCCTTAATCAAAATTGGAAGTACCAGCTACATCTATGAATTCATTGCGACATATCTGTAGAATTGATTTTACCTTAAGTCTTAACACTGCCTCAACAGCAAGAGTTGCAAAATGATCTCGATGTTGCACCAAAATTTTTGAGCTAAGTGTTGTTCTTGCAATATTCAACAAGTCCTCTTTAAATTTTTGCTCATCACTGCTGTGATCAACAGCTGCAGCCTCCAAGGCCTTCTGAGCAACTTGTACAGCTTTCCGCCAACCAGACACAATAATCTGGGGATGTACTTTACATGACACAAGTTTTTCAGCCTCCTGATATAGAACACAGGCCAAATATTAGTACAATGTTGCAAAATTTACATTTCAGTGACACCAATGTGAGAAGAAAGCTGAATAGTCTTTGTCATCATTACTATTGTTGTTTTTGTATTTTTCTAATCAAATATATCAAAACATATATTTGTTGGAAACAAAGAATAGTAATTCTAAAACTTCAATCTATAAGGGCAGTGCTCATAAACTTGTCTGTAAGATAGTTGGTCATTCATACCATCTTTGTTACAATGTAATGACAAGAGTCAATCTAACAGGGCATAATGTTGTCTCTGTTCACAATTATTTTAATTTAGATCACCTTATCTGATTCAAGACCTTAGTTACTTATAACATTTAATACTTGCACACCATACCCGCAGCAATTCACAAGCTAGTACTGTCACACTTGTTGTGCCATCCCCAACTTCATTGTCTTGAACTTTTGATAACTCTAATTAAATGGAGAACAAAGGAAACAAGAAAGACTACTTGCAAAAAGCACACTGTCTGGATTGCAATGCTGTGGAAAGGTATTCTATCATCTGGCAATAGTAGAACCCCTCATTCCTCCTTAGTTGTGGTTTTGGGTCAGGTCACTTGTCTTCTCTGAACAGTTGAGCCACTCTTTATATTCAAATTCAGTAATATATAGATTTAGCCAAGCCTAAAAGCAGAGCTCGCATTTTTTTTCCCCACACATCTCAAGGACACAACACCTTGCCCCGGCCAGGACTAGAACCCGGGTCGTCCAACTTGGAGCCCAGTGCACTGACCACTGAACTACTGAACAAAGCTGTGGCATTAGTGTGCCCGTGGTACAGTTGACCACACATGTTAAAAGTAGCATCTTGTGCAGTCGTAAGGTCATACGGTCGTATGGTTGTACATCCAAATCTTTTTGGCTTGATGGGTTACTACTATTTTGTATAATTATGGGGCTACACTCTGCGAGCTCCGCTATTACGCCCAATTGAGTGTTTGCCATGCAAGGGGTCTGACAGTTGTTTCTGTCTTATGATGTCATATAAATTTTTAAAGCTACAACCTTCTTGAATAAGTTTATTATAGAACTACCTCACTTACCCACAAGAATTTTTGCAGCTGGATTATCAACTCCAATGGATTTTAGGATTGTTGCTCCGTCATTTGTAACCTGAATTTCTTCAGCCTTGCTAAACGACTGTAGAATTTTGTCCTGAGAAGTAAATCAAACACAATTAAAGCCAAGAATAACTAGCAAAATCCACAAAACATAGCATGTATGGTACAAAGGACGTAACATAGTGTTTCTTTCCAACCATTTAAGCTGAAATGTCACATTAATTGTCTCACAAATAATTTGTGAGCTCCAAACTGATTAACACCACCCAACAGAGAAATAACAACATCCTTTATTGTGATACATTTTTAACCTGAAAATTGAGAGGGTTTTTTTAGAGGTTAATGCCGAAATACGAAGAGTGGAACTGGAAAAGTAACCAATACAAAAGTGAAAGATTTCCAGGCTTTAGGGCACTCACTTATGGATAATATTTTCACAAGATCGCATGTCACAACTGTTCGTCTCTGTTTAAAAGTTTGTTCATTACAATGAGATGGAGCAAATTTAAAACTTGTGGTAACAAGAAGAGAATAACTCTATGATCAAGGTATAAGCATGAGAGAACACAGATTGCAAAAGCATGTAGTATACTCTACCATTCCTTTCGGACCAAGAGTGCTCTTGACGAGATCTCCAATAGCTATAGCACCAACAAATGACGACTGAAAATAATCAAAGAAAATGTATACAATGTGCTACTGCATCCACTAGTCAACACGATTGTAAGCCATCAAACGCTGGGTGTGCCAACACATTTGATTTGACAGATTTCTGGCTTCATGCGAGAGGAAACAATTATCAAACGCAATCTTGTAAGATTTGTGATTTAAAACAAATATACATACACTGGACAGCAAATTAGCAGCCACATAGAAAAACTTGAGTACGTTTGGCGAATAATTTAAAACAAGAAAGACAAATCATATTTCTGTGCTTACAAGACGAGCTGTTTCGGCTCTTTCCTCTTCGGCACCTTGGTTAAGAATCTGAACTGGGTTGAGGGAGACCTAAAATATAAAAAGTCGTGCACAAGAATAATCAATTAAATTTCCTCACTTTGAGTGCAGATGAGAGTCAATGAAATAAAAGAGAATTACCATTTTTGTACAATTTTACACAAGCACGTGTGGCTTCTGTAAAAATTTGAAGTTTCCAACGCTGTTGAGCCTGCGTTAAACAAGCGAACAGTTGCATTTACATTTTTCTTCACTTAGGCTGAATTGGAGTGTACCAACGAGGCCCCGAAGAGTTACGGAGTGTCCCCGAGTTTTTCCGACGATACTTCCGCAAACTACGATTAGTTGACGTCAGTGTCACGAGGATAATTTCGGTACTTGTCGGTGTTGTAAGATTGAAAATGGAGTCCGGAACTTAATTGTAAATCCCAGTAGAGGAGCATAAAATACCGTTTTTTCTTACTTCTGATCAAGATTTAGGTTTCAACGAGATCACAGATCGTGGGAATGGCTTCAGCGTCGCGTAAAAACCAATTCAAAGTGGTTTTGCTAGGGGAGGGCTGCGTTGGTAAGACGTCCCTTATGCTCCGATACGTACAAGACAAGTTCAACGATAAGCATTTAACTACCTTACAAGTAGGTAACTTTTTGTGTTACGTGTGTCGTAAACCTGGCCCAGAGCCATCACATGATACAGTATATAAGATTTGGAAAAAGGGCATAAATTAAAGAGTTACTTAACTTATCATATCATAGCTCTTTCCAGTCAGACTGGAGACCGGCCCATTTCTTCACACGATTCCTGATATCAGTACTGAATGGACAATGTCTTCTGTGTTTATGATGAGTTAAGGTGTTGATGTATCAGTTTAAGAAATATTTAGGTAATTGAGAGTATTAGATTATTTGGACATATCATAAAATTGAAATTTGTGTGAAATAAAGGATGATCGACAACTTTGTGCTGAAGTTACTCCTTTATTACTTCGTACAAAACGTATAATTCTAAAACAGATGCTTACGTAAATACGATTAGTTCCTTACATTTCATAAAAAATTCCAACCAGAAGTTAATTTAGTTACAACTAAGGGATTTATATGTTGGAGCTTGCTTTGATCTATTTAAAAGAAATTGCAACATCAAAACCGAAAAACAACCGGATGTGAATGTGCATGTTATGCATGGACTTACATCGAGTTAGGACAGAACAAGAGACTACTAATTTACCTGGCTACCTTAGTATTCTTCATTTAGGAATGTAAGGGATATTTTGCACCAATAAGTGATTTCCTTTACTTTCTCTTTGATAATAAAATCATTGAGAAATAACTGTGAACAACTTCATTTTGAGAGTGTTTGAATATGTATGTTGTAAACATGTTTGAAAATTTCTGGAATTTTCTCTGCAGACAGAGGCTAACCTGTTATAACACTTCAGACATGTAAACATTTGTGAAAAAATTTTGAGTAGTTAAAGCAAGTCTTTGAGCAGATGTCACACTTTCAACTTACAGTCCTTTTAATTTGGACAGTAGAAGTACATGTAGCTTATTTAAAGGGGTGAGCAATGAAAAACCAGGACACAGGAGGTACCATGCTGTTTGGACACATTGTGGGTCTAGGGCACAGTGATTATTCACTGCCTGTAGACATCACTATTTATTGTTCCCTTAAAATTGCAACATGAGCAACCAAATTGCTGAACACCATAGAGTCACAAACCACACCACAGACTGGGTTGTTGGACAATGTTTCACCTACACAATGGGGAACTTTAAAACGTCTTACTTTTGAAAGCACGTTCATTAACTTAAAACCAACTCCCCTCAACTTACGTCCAACCAGTTCACAACATTTACTCAAAATTACCAAACTGAAGGACCTAACATTACTCACGGATCAAAACCAAAAAATTAGAGCTGATTTACAATAAAGCCTTCTCTCACCCAGATAATGAGACTATCAAGACCATGTTATAATAGTTATTAAATGCTTTCATCTTCAGAACAAAACTTGGCACATGTGATAAACCTTTTTGTTGGTATGCATATTAATAACTGAAGTGAAATATTGTCTCATTGTTTCTTTCAAGGCATCATTCTTGAATAAAAGATTAAATATAGATGGGCAAAGAGTGAACATTGCAATATGGGTGAGTATATTGATTCAAAGTTAACACACTACCTGTTGATAAAAGGAGTTAGCATAGCTATGAATTGATTCAATTGATTTAATTGTTGTAAGTTTATAAGGAAATTTCCAGTTATTCCAAAACTCCAGAGAAAACTTAAAATCAAAGACTGAGTCCTAGACAAGAATAGGCTTCAGACTACAGTATTTTATAATTTTTGAGTGTTGGAATGTCATAACATAATGCCCTGTTATCTTAAATCAATTTCTCATTCATATATCTATCTATAGGACACAGCAGGCCAGGAAAGATTTCATGCTTTAGGACCAATTTATTACAGAGATAGGTAAGGAGTCAACATACTTTTGGAGTTTTCTGTTGTGTGCTTTATATAAAAGTAGCTACCAAGTATTGTTGTGAGGTGTCTGGTGTCAAGTAGACCACAGAGTATGTCAAAATCATTTATGTGTATTTCCTTTAATAGATCATAAGAACTAATTGGAATGCGTATATAACTCAGACCATTATATTATCGTTAAGTTATAATTGGGCTGATCTGAACTGATTATTTCTAAGTTGGTTTTTTTTTTTTCATTTTTGCAGCAATGGTGCAATTCTAGTTTATGATATAACAGATGAAGATTCCTTTTTCAAGGTAATAAAAGTCATGATGTTACCTGACTGTTACAAATGCACAGTGTAATGAATGTTGTAGCATTTATAAATTAATAATTCAGCTGTATATCTTTTGTATGATAAACAGGTGAAAAACTGGGTCAAGGAACTTAAGAAAATGTTGGGAGAAGATATTGCACTCTGCATAGCAGGTAATAATGTCTACTTGTAGTTCTTGTGTGTTGAGATAGATATCACCTCTCTTGATGTACCCTATATTGATATTTGATCATTATCTTTATAATAGGAAACAAAATTGACCTCGAAAAAGACAGACATGTGGAGGCTTCAGAGGCAGAAGCGTAAGTTTGTTATCTTAAGGCTCTTTATTGCTTTTGTTACCTTCTAAGAGTCAAAATTTAGGATACTGTAGACACCAGCATATAAGCTGCACCAGCAGGTAAGCCACACCCCATGTTTGGAAGGTGGAGTTTTAAGAAGGTTGCTTTTTATTTGGGTTACATCACCAACATTGAACACAGATAACACTTTGTATCATAGCTTATAACTTTAGCTGTATTAGTAGGGACATCATGTCCACTGACTTAGACTTATAGCTTAGTTGCCAAGCATTTGATCAGGGGAAGGGATACTAGACACAACTAGCTTCTGAAACGTAAAATGTTCATGGCAACACACAGCAAGGTTCCTTGTTGGTAACTTTTAGCCACTCAAGGATGCTACACAATATTATCAATATATCAGCACCTTCAAAATGCACATGAAGGGGGTGGAAACCCTTTGTAACTTTAAAAAAATAGCCAAGAACAGGAGAGTAATCAAAGAAACTGAAAGTGAGCTTGTAATAATTTTGTCTTAGATCATGATAAACAGGTATGTTGTAAATCACAGATCTTCAATCATTATAATTCCAGGTATGCCAAGACAGTAGGGGCAAAGCACTTCCATACATCAGCAAAACTTAACAAAGGTGTAGAAGAAATGTTCTTTGAGCTTGCAAAGCGTAAGTGTTATTTTGTACTTTAATTTCTAGCCATATGATGAATTCCTCCCTAAAAATATTCACAAATAGTTTGCTACTTTTTCAGGTGGTTTGTGTATCTGGAAAATTGTAACCAAAAAAATGTAGTGTTGTTCTTCTCCATTCGTCACCTTTTTTTGTTCCATTTTGGTTAATTCTTGCCTCCCTGGTATTTATCCTTGCTAAAAACATGAAAACCTCTCCTTTAATGTTACCTACTTTAAAAAAGAAATACTTAAAGTTTAGTGGAATTGGAATTTGTCATGAGTTTGTCAAATGCCTGGGGAAAAAAGTTCTTGCACCATACCTGTGGTTGTAGACTGTTAATGAACAGTTAACTTAACTTTAGTGATTGCATCATGAGCACATTGCAAGTGGTATTTGTTACGGTTTTTTCCTCAAAGAAATGTTGGAGAGACAAGAAAAAAATGAGGGCAATCGTGATGGAATACCTGACAGAGGAAATAGCAGGCGGAAGAATGTGGTAATAGTTGATGAACAACCCCAGCGACAGAGCAGTAGTGGTTGTTGTGGTGGAGGGGGATCATAGAGTTTATCATGTGCAAACTGTGGTTTGCATTATCAATCAGTTCTCTCTCTTGTCTCTGTAATATAGAGCTTTAGATAAGGTAAACGATAGTTTATCAACAGGTAATAGTGTGGAGATAATGTTTTGCAAGGAGGAAGTGGTCTGACCCCAAGTTTGATAGTCCTGAGAACCATAGATCTTTATAATGTTTAGTGCGGAAAAGGACAATTTAATATAACTATTCCTTGTATCAATTATTTTGTCTTTCTCAGTAACTAATTGCCTGTCACTTCTTTTAAAGCTGGTAGTTATAATTTAGCAATAGTTCTATTATATTTACCCCAAACTTCTTTGGGGTATTTGGTATTTGAATACTGTACTACAGGTGCAGGTGTAAATTGACAAGCAATAAATATTAATCAAGTTGACTAATGAAGTGCCTAAGGGGTTGAAGAATTAGACTGACAAACTGTTAAATGGCCTGTTTTCTCAAATGATTTAAGCTGTCAAATACATTTGTATTCTGAGAGGATAGTGAATCTGGCTTTTTCAAACGTGAAAAGACGAGATGACCTCCTGAACCATGTCATATCTCGCCATGAAATTGTAAGAGGGTGTATGACCCAAAGAGGTGCATTTACCTTGTTTTTAGCTTAATGGGCTCACTTATTAATTAAAAATAAAAGTGATTTTGTTCTGACAATATACTCCTAAGCTGCGTCTAAATGTAGTAATAGGACAATCTTTTCTATTTTATAGCTATGTAACTTGTGGTAACTTAGTTGACATATAGTGGTTTTGATAACAAGTGGCAAGCCTGCAGCTATAGCCTCCTTATCACTTTCGGTTTATTGTACATTCATAACAAAAAACCACATTAACTAGATTGTGTCAATCATGAGTGATGTTCAGTTGCATATTTTGCACATCTAAAAGATAAATTATGCCAAATGCAGCTGACTCGTTAGTGGTGAGATCAGATCTGGATTGGAAAAGTCCTTTTTTTGATATAATTGGAATCAAAGAACAGGCATCTCTCTTCATGAATGTATGCCAGTGATTTGAGATTTTGAAAGTTGTTATACTTGGCAGGACTGTCAATAAGGGCTGTACCCTTAATGTTACTGGTGAGGACGTCAAAAATATTGCTGTCATGTTACACTTCACCACATTTTACACTGCTGTGGGTGAAAATCCTCAGGTAATGGCTGCTTCAAAACTTACAGCCAGCTCTGCTCTGTTTGCTGTCTAGTGGGTCTCTCTAGTTTTTTTTTTAATTTTTTTTATGAGGTAAATGTTTTCCAAGCTTATGTGAGGAATGTATATGAATACAATATTTCAGCAAAGATTGCACAAGTGGTAATATTTTGGTAGTCTGATGGTGTGAAGTTTTGTAAAAATGAAAATTACATCATGGAGAATGCAAGTTAAGTTACTTTGTAATTCTGAGCTTGGAGTTTTTACTGAGAAATTATTATTAAGTTGTGCATGCTTTCTTTGTCTGATGATTTTGTCATTGCTTGCTGTAAAATCACCCCAGTAATTTTGTCCTCTTTTTTGTATTGAAGAGTCATAATCTATATTAAATTACAATTTGTTGTTTCTATTCATCTCAAGAACAGGATAACCTTTTTCATTGAATTTTAAACTCCAAATATCAAATTTCTATGTTTTGATTGGTTCTCTCAACTCCAGTTACCAGCTCATATTCCTAGTCACCTTATATGGAAATACATTGTGCCAACTGTTGTGCAGCTGTAAAAGGGCTCCAAATATCCAAACGTTCAGGATTTACAAGTAATGAAATTCAGTTAAAAAACAATTATTCCATTCTCACTCGTTGGATATGAAACTGTTTACAGCCACCTCGGCACTATTTACCATCTCATATCCAATGCCTTCTCAAGGAATAATTGAGTTCACACTCTAGAAACCAGCCTGGTAGCCAGGTAATGTATGATATACATTTCAAGGTATTTAGTCACTGGAATTTTACCCCAGTGTTTTCTCTTTGCCCTTGGTAAAAAAATCACAAATTTCTCTTAATCAATTTCAATACTTTTAATTTGTGTCATTCTATACAGCAGTTTTGTATTCATAATGAGACAAGCAAATTATAAGAAAAAACTTCATACACATCTTAAAACTGTTGATGAGAGCTGGCAATTGCAAAGTCCTTTCTTCAAAATAGCACTCAAGTTGCTAAAAAAATCGAATGCAATTCACGGCAGGTTTGTACTTTGCGACTGGCTTATCTATGCTTGACGTCGTAAAACCTTAACTACGAGAAACCTACAAGAAGTTTCAACTGAGCTCAAAAAAATTATAAAAAAATTTGGATGCCCTCTCACAGACACGTCAATCTCCTGTGGAAGTTTTCATTGATTATGTATCCAAACAAGGAAACCTCTGTAGGTCCCTTAAAAATTGCCTTACGATTTTGACAGCCTGTCCAAATAGAGATCGAAGCTTGTAGACTCTGATAAAGTGGACATAAACAGAGCTTTCATCAAAAGCGGGTTACCGCTGGTCTACCGCCGCCCATCAGACCTTACCGCCATCTGTTGAGCCTGTGAGCTGGCTCGTACTTGGGTTTTGCCTTACGACCCCTATTCGGGCACAGCAGTCCATAAAACCATCGTCAGCCGCTTATGGAAAAAGTTATTGACAACCCTGCAAATGCTAGTTCCATTGACAAAGGTGGTTCTACCACTGATATTGAAGGAAGTTCCAGTTTTCAGTCAGAACAAAGCCCAGCCCGAATACCTCGTCTGAACAGGAAGTAAGTTTCCAGCGATCCTCATAAACTAAGACAGGTTCCTTTCGTTCGCAACAGTAGAGCAAAGGACACGAGATCGTGCTAGCTTTAGACACTAATGGTCTTGAAGATATTGAAGCCACATTCAGCCGTACTTATTAACACACCTGGAAGCTGGGGATGCCAATGCACCTCTTTAATATCCTTTTGGCCCTGAAATTTAAATAGTAAAAAACCTAAGGGCACTAATCACTGCTACCAGGAACATCTGTGATATACCTTTCCCCTAAGGTAAGCCCCTCGCAAGTAATTCATGCTTACATTGGCTTTTCTTCACTCTGAGTACGAAGTTGATTGAGGTAATTAAGTATTATCAATGGAGTTGATAACATAAATTGGCCACCGTAAAGAGTTTCAAAAGCGGACGGTTCGAGCGTTAGCCCTTTGTTATTCGCTCTGGCGAAAACGTCAGCTTTTGAAACTCTTTACGATGGCCAATTTACGTTATTAACTCATACTTAATTACCCTGTGTACTCTCCCACCGACGCAGCACCACAGTTTCCTTAGAAACGCACCCCCTTTATTACGATGTTGATTAGTTTGGTAGAATTGCGCCACTTTCATTAACAAGTCATGTCTTTCACTCGACTAACCAATCGCTATTCAGTTACGGGCGTTATCCATTCTCGACGCCAAACAAATGTATCAAAATCATTCAAAGTTCCCATAAGCTTTTTAATACGTCTCATTCTTTTTATTCCGATCAGTTTTTGTGACTGTTTTGGTTTGGTTTTGAAATTGGCTTTAAGACGCTCAACCGAAGAGTGCTCTACCGACAACTACCCATTCAACTATGAGCCCTCCTAAAACCCGTCAAGAGAGGTTTACGAAGTTGTATAAGCCCACGGGTAATAAGCAGCAGTTTACGGTATAGTAAAACGACAGAAGAGCTCTATTGCACGACACGAAGTTCAATTACCACTTCATTGCATGCATTTTGAATCGCAAAACTCAGTCAATCAGACAAACAATCAGACAAGCGATTGGTTGTTGTATTTTATTAACGTATCCTCATAGGCTGGGGAAAAGATGCGATTTAGTGCATATAATGGTGCGATTCGTGAATAAAGTGCATTGATGAGAGCCAATCAAATTATAAGGATCACTAGTGATTTCAAAATGGATGTAATAAGATGAATAATACTCATGCATGAAGATCAATTATTCTGCTTGCACGGAGAAAACAAGCCTTAGTAATTTACACTTCACTCATCATCACTTACCATATGAATGAATAGTAATTGCGGTGGAACATCTAACTGCCTTCCTTTTCCGTCAGCCTCGCTGTCTCTTTCTACAGCTAAGTCCCATAGCGTGACCTGATCGTCAGAGCCAGATGCCACAAACACTGAACTGTCTGTAGGATGCCATTCCACTGAGGTGATAGCACCTGTGTGATGCTTGAACATTGCTACCGATACACCGCTGAGGAGACACAAACACATGGAGAAAAATGCAATAAACGATTTTAGTTCAGAAGTAATACTCGATCGTACACAGGGTCGTCCGGGTTACGGTTGACTTGTTCACCATTTAATTCCTGAGAGTGACAATAGGATCTACTTTCCCCTCACAGTATCACCACTGAATCAAACATTAAGCTCAGGAGAATAAAGGAAACGATCACCACATAAAGAGGCTCCAGATCGTTAAACAAATTCCCCATGTCAGTAACACAGGAAAGGCACACTTATCAAGTCACTTTTTCGGATAATGACTTTCTCTTTGATTTTTTTGGGTTTTAAAACGTCAGTCACTAACATCTTTCAACGACAGTACTCCTTTGAGGGAAATTCTCCCACAGTAAGCGGATAGTCGGTTTCAGGCGTTCATTTAGTAAAACGGAGCAATATAGTATACGAACTTAAACAGCGCGATGGTGGCAGAGGAGAGAAAAGACGAGAGAGGTTTGGTTTACTAACTGAACGCCTAGATTAGGAGAACTACGTGATTAACAGACACATGTAATAGACAGACCTATACGAGCTGAGAGTAACCAAACCCTCATAACCATACTCATTGCTCCAATACATCCTATTTAGAGCAATTTATTTGAATAATGATCGTGGAGATCTTGCGAGTAATTGAACAAAATCTTTTAGAGTAAAGTTAATTTTACCTCTGGAACTGTCGGAGATCCCAAACTTTTAAAACACCGTCATCACCTCCCGAAGCAATAAACGGTTCATTCCTGAAAAGAAAATATACAGATAGGAATCTTTAAAAAGTCTGTATTTTTCCTGTTTTAGTTTTAGAACGGTACGCGCTTTGTATTATCAACTTTCAGAATGATTAAATAACGACAAAAGGCATGAGTTCCAAACAATTTTCTCTAGTTTTCGGTACTTAAAGCTTCCATGCTTTTGAACTTATCACAACACCGTTTTGTTCTATAAGTTGCCGTAGCGACCAATGATAATTTGTTATCAATGAAGAAAAGATCTCTACTCGACAAGACATTGCCTTCTACGTCGTAAAAAAATACTCATTGGCTACTGACTCTTTGAACAATAATCAATTGTGTGTGCAAAGTAAGCCAGATATGATCGCTGTATAATTAATACAAACAATACCGGGGTCACGTGCTTCAGCCTAACGTTCTAATTGGTACTTTGTTTTGTTTGGTGCCTTTTGCTTTGCCAGGACAATTGCGTCGACTCTGACCTGTTCCAAGAAATCACATTCACATCAGCGTCATGTGCCTGCGTGGTCAGCATGCAGGCTTTGGTGGGTTTCGCTCTTGCGTCCCATATTCGTACCGTCTTGTCCACTGAACATGAGGCAAACACCTGAAAGATCGAAAAATAAGAGAACAAAAATGAAGAAGTGATATTAAGAGATCCTCGCAGCTAAGAACACTACTGAAACGAGTAGTTGTAAATAGGACCTGAAAAAAATTCAGGCCCGTACGGGATTTGAACCCATGACCTCTGCGATACCGGTGCAGCGCTCTACCAATTGAGCTAACAAGCCAACTGGGAGCTGGTCAATGAACGATCAGTACAAATAAACATCCAACCGCGATTAATTGCGACTTGGTTATCAGTATTTCCTATCGTCTACATATTATGGTTCCTTGTAGGATTTAAGTTCGTGCTAGAGCAATTAGCAATCGTTAACAAAAGTCAGTAAGCGCTCTCTTAATGGTCATAGCCTGTTTGCAAGCTCTCTCGTAGGATACGGGCGGAAGCCTCTGGACAGCTTGCTCGCAGGCTAATTGGTTAATATCATCTCTCCAAGATGCAAATATGTGAATTTTCATATATCTAAAATCTTCAAGTCTCCATTGCCCTCTTGTAGTATTTTCTATACTATTTATTTGGTTTCGGTCAATTTGCCACCACAACAAACTCGCCACTACCGAACTCGCCACCACCGAGAGTCAATTCGCCACCAATGGCGATTTGACTCAGGCGCTACATTTAGCCTCTCGTTTGAAACTTACATCAAATGAAGCTAAGTTGTAGTAGTTTATTGGAAAATTAGAAGTGCGAACGAATACGGCAAAAGGAACTCAAACGTTATGTTAACCATTAAATTAAATTAAACATGTTGATATCACGAAGATTGACCAGTCTACGCACGGGGAAACCAGAGTGATTTGATTTTCGCCGATGTTTATGAAACCTCATGAAAATTACATCAAATGAAAACTAAGAAGTAGCAGTATATTGCGACATTACAAGTGCATACAAATAAAATACAGCCAAGTTTACAGAAGACGGACTTGGCGTCCTTTCTTTGTGTTAAGCACAAAGAATGTCGACGTGACCCTAAACAAGAGTTTCGTTCTTATAAACGCAAAAGTTCGTAATTAAATCTAATGAAACTTATATCATACGAATGATTAGATTTTAATGTTTAAATCATTTTTGGTTTGATGATACTTATTGTTTCATTTAAGAAGACAACTCAAAAACTCGGGCTTCGTGCTTAATCACGAGTTCCAAACACCAAACACCTCCTATTTCCTGGTCCTTGTAACCCGTGACGAAGCGCTCCCCCACGTTTTTGACATATTACGTCATAAACAGCTTTTAAACGTCGAAAGCTGTGATAACTGCTAACAGCTTTTGGTTTTACATGAATACACCGAAAAGCGCTCCCTGATCTCAGCTAATTACGGTAAGTCACACAGTTAAGTCTTACATTCTGTTCATTGGGACTCCACTGTATATCTTCAACAGAGTCTGTATGCGCACTGTAAGGTCTCTGGTCAACATGCCATGAACCGCCCTCCACAGGTGACCAAAGATGGATATTTTTCCTACAATCTCCTGTTGCTAGTCTGTTTGAGGAGACAGATTATCAACAATTAAATGTAAATGTAACGCAAGAAAGCACGATCGTAAATACTCTGATAAGCTCTCCGGTGAATTTTAAAATTGCCAGCAATTTTCGTTGAAACATTATTGTATCGTGCTTTTAATTAGCCTGTGTACAGCCACACATTGTTACTGCTTAGTAAAGACTGTACTTTTAATGTGACTAACTCTGGCCTTGGGAGATCAAGGTTGCTCTTGACTAACTGTTTATGGTCTAGGTTTGGATACTTTAAGGCAGGCATGCATAATAAAATATCCCAGAGGCTTTACTGAGCAGAGAACAAGCTGCTACTTTCCCGTTTCATATTGCAAATGATCTTATTTGTTTGCTACAATGACAAAAAAAAAAACCTTCAAGGTCAGTGAGTTATTGCAATGCTTCCTGGCCATACCTTCCAGGAACTGTTTTGGACCAGTCCAGAGCAAACCCTTCAACCTGGAAAAAAGTGAAGTAAGCTATCTTAAATAACAAACCCTAAAGATATCACACACGACTTGCAGCTATCTATATTACCCTGGACACTTGATAAATAACGTATCATTAGGTCCCTAAATCCTACATACACTCACGAAGCAGGAAAGGTGTCCATATCTGAAGCTGACTACATACTTCAACAAACGAGGAGGTATACAGATTTTTTATCAATAAAGGCATTGAGATTTAAATTAATTTTGCAAAAACTTGTGCAATGAAGATTGTACAATTACAGAATAGAAACAGTCAAATTGATTGAGTGAATCTTGACACCAATGAAAAATATTTTGTTCATGATTAATCAAAGGCCACATACATAATTGTATAATTTATAATAATAAACAGATCTTCAGTCAAACTAACCTGATGACCGTCAAATGTAAACAGTGCCTTGATATCTTTTGAGTGGGATGCCTCAGCAGATATGGATGGATTATCAACTGAAATAACCTGCTGTGATATATCCCAGATGTGAACCTTGCCCCTCTCAGACCATGTGGCTACAATATGTCGGTTAGGAATTGGTGAATGCTGAAATGAAATATATCATAGATACTGTTGGCGAAAAAGAAAAACCAACATGAAAACCATCATGTAGCCCAAAAAATTGCCAGATGATAAACTTGGTAATAATGTACATGAAAAAATTATGTGTTTCTGATTGGCTGAAAATGAGTGCATTCTCTGTAACATGAGTGAAAAGTTGTAAAACAGGTTCAAATTTCAAATAGTGTCCACACACTTTCAAATTTTGTCTGTCCTGACTTTCTGCAATGTTTTTTCAAGTACATTATCAACAGGTAATAACATTATTTCTCTTGCAATTTGGTGTAATAAGCACTTATAAATTTTTCAAAGAATAAAAAATAATTGCACTTGCCCTATGGGCTCATGCAATTTTGTTGTCTTTGAAAAATTTGCTCATGCTTATAAAGATCAAATTGCACTCAAAATCATGTTATTGCCCAAAATACATATTATTAAACTCACTGAACATAGAAAGTAAGTGGTGTATTCAAGTTATCCATAGCAAAGACTGACTACAACTGTTGTTCAAAGGCAAGAAATGAAGTGACTAAGTTCATTCCAAAAAAGAGCACATCTACATGTACCTCCTATGCATGAATGTGAAGGAAAGTTAAGTACTAATTAACCTTTTGCACCCCTGGTTAAAACCATGATCTAACACCTCAGAACCACTACTACATTAACACTCAAACCTCCCCTTACTCAACCTCCACTTTCTATGCAAGCAAACATGATTCTGTGCATGAAATTTATCAAGTATGAACCTACATGAACAGGAAGGTCTTATTCACTAACATGGTCCTTACAACGCAGTTGGCAGACAACCCAAATTCAGAATTGGAAGGTCTAAGGTTTGAATCCCCCTAAGAGACTCTTGTATGCTTGTGACTTCTTTCCTTACAGATAGTAAGATTTACTCAAACAGACAACAAGGAAACAAATAACAGGGTCTGAAATAATGGTGAAGTGTCTGTATTAGGCAAGTTATATCATTTTGGAGAAGAAGGTTCTTCCCTAGGATAAAGCAAACTGCCCAAAATACTGACAAATCTCTGTAGCATAGTCTTTAAGTTTCTTTTGTTTAGTTAGACATAATTTTGCACTTTGATTGAAGTTCAGTTGATGTTTCAGTTAAATAAAATTAATCACATTTTGATTGAATTTTTAAGTACATGAAGTGTTTTTAATGAGTCAAGAATGTTCATTTGGCTTCTTGCTTGTTCCTTTTTAGTCACAGAATCAGATTCATAGTTAATTTGTTCATAAATAGTTAAAATTCTTACTCTGATTCTATTAACTCCACCAGTGTGGTTAAACATTGCTGTGTCTAGATCTGGTTCTTCATCCAAAAGCTCATCATCAGAATCACCTGCCAAAAATAAATACTCTATAATTCATCAATTTTCCAGGAAAGTTTGTCCATCAGCCAATAAAAACCTGAATTGACTGCTATCAATAATAGGTCACTCACAAACAAGTAGACAAAATATGAAGAAGTAGATTATCATGGGTAAATGCACCTTACACCTACATTTCATCTGAATATTCCCTATATTAAAAAAAAAAACTTGGTTAAGAATTCAATGAGAAAAGCTCTCTTAATAAACTGAAGCCCCATATTAAATGAAGGCTTCTCTTATTCTATTGCTTCACTGTCAGTTCTTTAGCACAACTTATATTTGCACCCAAATCAACTTACTTTCATCATCACTTGGGGACGTTTTGTCCAACTGTGACATCTTCATGACTATAACATGATTTTGTTTCCCTGGTGGTGCCTGTGTTCCAGCCACAATGTATGCTGTCATTGGAAACTTGAAAACAGAAAGTGCAAGATTAATGTGAAAGCAATCATAACCAAAAATCAAAATAAGATAAAAAAGATTTTTGTAATAAGTATACAAAGTTTTTGTGTTCTATTCCATTTCAATATGGAAGAGCTTAATTTTAAACTTATGCAAAAGTTTGTTTCACTTTTCATGAACCAGAGGGTTCATGAAGTGCACATAATAGGTTTTTTCTGCCATTAATAGAATAAACCATAACTAAGATAGCATAAGAAGATTAAATTTGAAATCTGGGTACAAAGCCCTCTGTTTATAATGCTTCACCTCCATGTCAGGTCAGATGTGGTCATTGGACCAAGTTTGCAGCAGAAAATATTCCCTTCTATACATGATCTGATTCTTACCTCTGTTCTGGAGTCTCCAAGGCTATCTGGTATTACATCGAAACTTAGACAAGGAGCATTTGTTTGAGCCTACATCAAAGAAACGATCAATTAAAAAAAAACCATGATAACAAAATGTTGGTGTTGGCAACATCTACTGAGCAAAATCCAAGAACTGCATTATATCAAAATCCTTTCATTTAGATTTAGCAATAATTTTATCATCATTTGTCTCACTTGCACCCATTTATCACACCCACTGGTACAAAATGCCAAGATATGAGTATTTTACTTGACCTGGCTTGTACAGCTACATTGTACCAGTTGGCCTACACAGCTGGTAGTTTTATGGGCCTTTATGGCATTGTGTATGCTAATAAGTATCTTCTGCCCCAAGGCTCTGGCAGTTTCGTCTTTCAGCTGTGAAGGCTTAATACCAGGAAGGTTTTCATTTGGCATCTGAATTTCCTGGCTAAATTTTGATGGCAGGAGCTACTAAATTTCTTATTTGAATGAGGAGAACATTCTTCTGTCACTTTTTGTCCAGACACTACTATCCTAAAATTCTGAATTAAAAAATTCATGTACATTGGAGAGAGGAGATATTTAAATGCATGCAAACAGTGAAGAGGAATAAATTGCAGCTGTTGAAATCTACACTGTAACAGTCTCCTGCAATAGCCAGACTGTCATTCTACTACATGCATTCAAAGGAAACAGGTCACTTACAGCATGGTACATTTCATAAGCAGAACTGTCATATGTCAATTCATCTCCATCTTCCATCTTATCACCAGGAAGAAATACCTAACACAGTTGAAAGAGGAGGAAACACAAAGTGCTAAAGGCATGCATACATTTTAGTCAATGAATTTTAAGTCAAAATGATTATAAACTATTTTATCAATAGTCAAACAAAAATACATGAATAAGATATAATTGTTTCATGTTGTTGAGAGGTAAATAAGTAGTAATTTATTCTGAAGTTTCATTTTCAGATGTTCTTTGAAATACTTCCCTCTGAGGTTTTCAATTAATTTGGGCAAACACATGCATGTATGAAAGTATGAAATACTCTTTTGAGTATTTGTGTCTGATATATTCTTTTCCTTATTAATGTAATTAAAAATCCCAAGTCAGATATTAATAATTTAGTGACATTTTTTTATGCTTTGACCCAATTTTGGTGTCTATCATCACATGGAAATTTGCATGCACCTAAGCTGCTTACTCAACCATTACCCACTAGTGACTTGCCTTCTTGAAAAAAAAATAAACAGAAAAAAAAGAAAATAAAAATAAAATTGTCTGCAGATAGAAACAGTCAGCACTATTCAAGGGATTTAAATAGTGACATACTCACCTTCGTCTTTTCTCCCATTTCCTCCCTCTTTGATTTGGATGTTTTCTTTTTTCCTGAGTTTAAAATTCATTAAGTTAAATATCCCTACAAATTACCCTCCATTATGAAGTTATTGTATTGCACATCAGAGGCACAAGATGATCTTCATCAAAGTGTGGTACAAGCTTGATCTTCAAAATATATACCTCTACAAGAAAAGTTTAATTATTTGGCTTGTGCTTGATCCTGCTCTGAACTAGTGTAAGAGGAATCACCTGGGGCTACACAAGGAAAAGGTAAAATCTGCTCATAAACCAGATGGCCTATCTTACTGGAGTTTTTCCTGATATGAGTTGTATGAAGGAGTGCTGCTTCTCCCCCCTGAACAAGATAGCAGTGTACTGCAGGTTTACTTTCTGAGTATTCTGCCAGTTGGCAGTTTACTAAGGAGAGTGGAAGAGTACATATGCACCCATTTAAAAATCTGAGCAGTAAGAGGTACTGTTTGAGTAGGCATTATCACACAAGAACACATCATAGTGGATCCAGCTGGCCCAGGGAGCCTGAGCATGGATCTTTCTTTCTCTAGCTTAGCAATCCAACCACCAAACAAATGGAGTTCTCACCCTGAAGCTATTAAACAAATATCTAATCCATTTGGCTATAGAGCGCTTTCTATTTGAATGTTATAAAACCAAAACAATCAAAACAACCAATCAGATGAAAGGAAAATGACATGAGCAGCTAATAAGAGTCAAAGGATAAACTTGCTAACTACTTCTATATGGAAAAGTACAAGTGACTAAGGCATGATTGCTCTCAGTTTTGAATCTGATTGGTTTAGAGACTGTTCTGATTTCTCTGGACCAAACAAAAGGCTAGGTAGAGCAAAATCAAATTAATCCCAGATGGTACATGTATTTGACGCTCAACTTAAAATTGCTAAATGATATGCTTTTACCAATTAAAATTTGGGTATGTGAAGAAAAACAAGGACCCAATCAAGAAGAATAATTAATATAAAAGGCCCAGTTAAACATAAGTACAATACTGGATTCATCACCATTAGCTGATGGTATGGATTCTTCAAATTGCTCATCATCTTCAACTTCAATAGCATCATCACCATCATCACCACCTCCCTCATCATCATCATCATAAAGTTCCATCTCCTCCTCAGCAGAACCTGATTGGAAACAACATAAATTGCTTTTAATTATTTAACCATAATTACATTAACAGCAAGAACACTGGTCTTACTTTTCAGCAGCATTCGCCAAAGCACTTGGGGTTTTTTATGGAAAATCTTGTTTACTTTTATACTGATTGGCTCCCTGAACAGCTAGAAATGGTTTTATTCTCTACATCACACTATTTTATTATTTATAGATGAGCCTGCAAGCCTGTTAAGTTTCCTTAGAAGTAGACTTCATCAGCTCAGCCCTTGCTCAATTTTCAATTGTTTTTTCCACAGAAATTATCGACATTTGCAACAGTAAAGAATTTCTGATGGTTGATTTATTATTTTTATCTAATAATTGATACAATCAATATCAATCAACTGATCATAACTGATATTACTAATTTTTTTAACCTTTTAAGTCCCAAGATCTTAATGTTAATTCTCCCATCTAGCTGCTAAACATGTCCTTGCAAATTAAATCAGGTACAAGAATTTGGTGTCACATCAGGATAACAACTTTTATCTGAAAAAATTTGAATATCATCACTACTGTTTGCTAGATATATATATATGGATATTTTAGGGTGCAGTTTCATGTTAATCACTTCTAGGAGTTAAAGGGTTAAATGAAATAAAAAATGGAAATGACTGATTACTACGTCATTGGTTAGCTGGAATCTTTGTCGCTGTTCTCTTTACAATATATTTCAAGGTCAACAAGAGAGGAATTTCGTATTGATATACACACCCTCAATGCTCCCTTCGTCCGCCATTTTACTACAAGATGTTCTTCAACGAAATAACTTCAAAGACCTCTCACCCGCACGTGTCGTCAACAGACCCATGCACCGTGTTGGTAAAAAGGTTACGAAAGTTTAAATGAGGCTTATATAAAGTACATCCTTCGACTGAGACACCGCTGAATTGGTGCTCAGGCCTCTTCTATCAAACTCGTTCAACATGGCCGACGAACTAGAGGGAAATGCGCGTAAGAAGAAGAGGAAAGAAACCATTCCTGGTGTAGTTTATATGAGTCGATTACCCCCATTCATGAAACCAGCTAAAATAAGAAACATATTTTCACAATATGGAGAAGTAGGACGACTATTCTTGCAGCCAGAAGGTAAGAATTCAAGGAAAGACAGAGAAAGCATATGATGTTAATTTGAACATGTGCTGTCTACAAATTTCAACCACTAAATTGAAAACCGGTGTTGATACAAGTGGGTTAGAATATCAGGTATTTTATTATCGTTTAGAGGTTCTTTTAAATTTTCCTATAAAGTGAAAAACTTTGCGGTAAGTGATTCGCTAAGATAATTTAACTTTCTAGCGAAAGAAGGAGAACTTCATGATAAATCAGCTGCAGGCCGTTCTCCGAGCAATTAGAATTTGAATTAGCTTATTGAAACACCACTCATAACTTCCTTATGTCTTATATTAAGAATATTAGTTCCTCTTACCTTTAATCTAAAAATTCTAACATTTTGAATATTTTATCTCACTGAATATTGTTTTCCTCGCTTTGTAGATGCTGCTGTGAGGAAAAAGAGAAAGAAATATGGTGGAAGTGGAAGAAAGTTATTTACCGAAGGATGGATCGAGTTTAAAGACAAACGAATAGCAAAAGCTGTTGCTTTGAGTTTGAATAACACACCTATTGGTAAATAAAGTCCTAAAGTTTTCTTCTTCTGATGTGAACTTTTTTGTTTAACCCTTTAACTCCCAGAAATGATGAGTATGTAATTTCTCCCTTTAATATCCACATATTTGGTTGTGAGAATACCCAAACTAGTCAGATAGGAATTGTTATCTTGATCTAATACCAAATTCTCACAACTAGTTAACAAGGAAATGTGTAGTAGCCAGAGGCAAGAATTAACAATCAGATCTTGGGAGTTAAAGGGTTAAGTTGGCAGTTCCTGATGAATACCATAGAATGAGAGTGACTCTGATGATACTCTTACAATGTTTTGTATGAGTTACAAAAGTAAGAAGAATAATATGCTAAATTTTGTCAGTGGCACTAATAGATCCATTACTGAATCATTAGCAGGATAGATTGCCAATTATTGATTGATGAAATGACCAATAAATTGACTGACAAACTTAATTCATAAGTGATTGACTGACCAATTAACTGATTGATTGACTCACTATGACTGATTGACTTACGCACAGAATGACTGACTGCCTGTGACTGACTGAATGAATGACCACTTCACACTCTCTCATACCTCTCTAATTGATGGTTTGATAGTGAAAGAAACAATCTAAGTCCTGGTGGACCAACATTTACATTCAATAGGCTTGCATTACATTCAGTAGGCTGATAAATCAAGGTAACAGGCAATTTTAAAACAAACAAACTTATAAATGATGGGTTGATCTATGGACCAGCTAAGAAACCTCAGGGTAATTAACTCACAAACAAACCAAAAAATCTGTCAAAGAACCAGTGGCCTGTTTGATTTTTGTAAACTGTATTATTTCCTTACACACAGGGGGAAAGAAAGGAGGATATTACCATGATGATATATGGAATATAAAATATCTTCCAAAATTTCTTTGGGGACATTTGAGTGAAAAAATCGGTAAGTGACCTTCTTGGACCTTAATAATTCATTCTATTTGCTGTTGTTTGGTTTCAAGTGACCTTTTTCATTTCTAATTGCACTCAGAATTTATTTGCATTTATATCACATTTATATTTCATTCACGGAACAAAAACACCTTGGAAATTGTGTTTGATTATTTTCTTTTAGCATACGAGAAAGCTACAAAAGAACAAAGAATGAGAACTGAAATATCCCAGGCTAAAAAGGAAGCCAACTTTTATATACAAAATGTTGAGAAAGGAAAAGCCATAGATGCAATGAAAACTCGTAAAAGAAAGAGGGCTGATCAGGTAGGACTATATCAGGCATGCCAAACATATACATAATGTAATATACAGTTAGTGTTTTTGAAAAGAATGATATTAGTTTGTATGGTTCAATATTAAGAAATTTTTTGAAAGTCTACATTTATATTGGAACATGAAAAATAGATGGAATATTAAATGGGTTAAGACCTTTCCAGTAGTTGCAGACTGTGAGGAGTCTAATGTATCCATTTTTTTGGAAAGAAAACCAGTAAGTTATGCTCTCATAAGTATAGCTCTGGGGCTAAATGCTCTTATCAAAGAAATGTTTATCATTTGTTCTTGAAGGATTTCATGAATGAAAAGGGATGCCCCTCAAAGCAAAACACACTAGTACTGTTGTTGAGAAAAGAGTTATTTACTTGTGTTACAAGGGTTCTTTTATAATGCAGCCTTTATTCAAACATGTATGAACATACATATATTAAAAATATGATTTTCATTTCCATTACAGAAACCTGAAGAGAAGAGGTTGAGAACCTTCAGGCAGCATCAAGTTGTTGAAGATCAGAAAATGACAGAGATCAACCCTGGGAAATCCACCGAAAAAGACGTAGGGAAGTCACTCAGTAAAGATCTATTGAGGAAGGTAAAACTATTAAAAGGAAAAATATTCCATGAAGGCTGATGGCCTAGAAATGTTTTGTTTTATTCCTGTTTCTACCCTGAAATCTGTTGTTCAATGTCATTGTCTTTGCTTAAATCCTGAGTGTGTTCACTGTTTATTATTACCACTAGGTTTTCACCTCAGTCAGTGGAAGATGATATTTGACATGCAGCTCTGGGTAGTGTTGGTTATACTATCACATATGTAGTGGTGGTTAAAATGAAATTCGTCCTGGTTGATTTGCTTTTAATCTCCGCTTTTGTATAAGAGCACCAGGTACCATAACGTCAGATTCAAAAACCCACTAAACCCTGTCATACTTGCTGTTCATTTCATGTCTCCGTCACCGGTGGCTCAAAGATTTCCAGGACTTCCATGGTTTGTGACAGGCTGATGACTTTTTCCATTCAGTTCAGTAGCCATAGCTAACACTAATGAATCAATCAACTGGTGATAATTGATTAGGCACCAGCTTTACATAAACAATTACAGTGCCCTAAGGAAATGGAAACAGAACATTCTTTGTGAAGCCGAAAAAATTTAATGTGGATAAAAACCTTTTATGATTATACTTGCAAATTATTTGGGTCAGCCTCTAGATCTGCAAATTTTTGTTCTAGGATCTTAGTGTTAGGTTTTTAAATCTTATGAATGATATAACTATTTTTACACTGCTTATTGTGTACAAAAAATGTTAAACAATTTACGTCATAAATGATGACAGATTCGCTCACAAAACGTTCTCAAGGTTTGATAACAATTCAGTTACTCTCTATGAAGTTATTTTGTTTAAGTAGGCCCAAACTGGGAATCTTAAGTTTATTTTCCATTGTACCAGTTTTCCATTTTACAGTCTTTTTGATGAAAAATTGTGCAAACCCCCCTGTGGGAGGTTTTGGGCTAAACTTAATCTTATGACTCAGGGTATCCAAGGTAACCCTCCACCTGAGTTAGTGTGGCCGCACTGACTTTCCACTCACTTCTTTGAAAAATTTAACAAACCGTGTACATGAAAATGGCAAACTCATCTCGCGGGCCGAGACAACCCACCACCTGCCCTATTTATAAACATGACCACCTGGATAGACCTTTATATGGCAAGCACGTGCACGGCGAAGGTTAGTGAATTCTCAAGGTGAAGCAGTATAACAATCATCGAAACAATTGCAAGACTGCGTGAATCAACAAATTAATAAGAATTTCTCTTCACAATAGAGAATGGATTTGCTCACTCTCGGTAACGGAAGAAATAAGTGGCTCGGAATGTTTCTGTATCGCGAATGAATTTGTTATCAGCACTTGTTAATATTCACCATTAAAAGAAAACAAACTGAATTTTAAAGGGGCACCTAAGTCGAATAAAGACATATGGCACGTTTCGTGCAGCTGAAGTTTTAATATTGCAAGTAATCCTAAAATCTTTTGGATGGCCTCAGGGATTTTCCCATTTTATCCCTTGGATAATATTAAACGGCGTAATTTGAATTTCTGCGTAGAATAGAGTGAATCTTGAATGCATTTATTTCTCTTTAAAATGAGTGTTCTTGACTCCACCCATGATTTTAAGCATGTCGCAATATTATATACATGTAATAGGCACATGCTAGATCCAGATATGCATGTTTTAGTCGGAAAATATCGTTGGTCAACATACTCACTGAGTCTCCGAAGCGGAACGGCACTTAGTGGTAAATTCCATCCTCAACAATGGCTATATTTCAGGTGCAGAAATTTTGCTGGCAGCGGAAAAAGAGGAAAATGTTAAGAAGAGTTACGTAAGTTTCTAGTTAGTGTTCGACCGCGTGATGCAGAATCCTTCATCAACCGTTTTCCCGCCTTTTCTTGATTATTCATTCGGCCTCCTGTTGGGTTAAACAGCCGTACCTTAATAGAAACTGGTATGAAGTTAATTCAGATTAAACGAGATGTCTACTTTGTTAGTAAGGTCTCCTCTGCCCCCCGGGGTAAATAGCGACACGTTTCTTAAGTGATTGAGTACTTTAGGTACTATCAAGTGTTTTAGCGGGCCAAGCCGCCTTTTTGCTTCCTGAATCAATACTGAAAAGTGATTTGACCGCAGAGAAAGACAAATGCAATCTACTGGCTAGATTGCTCTTGCATAGACATAGACTCCATTAACTACAAAGTACACCGGGGTTTTCCATACAAAGACTTCTAAAAAAAGCTCGGAAAACAAACGTTAGAACTCACTTCCATGTTGGCTTTAAAATCTGCTTAAAGCTAAATTGAAGGTACTCGAAAAACAGCTTTAAAAAATTGCCATTTAGAACTTTCTCAGGCGTCAGAAATATACTTATTTTATAACAACAGCTTCACGTGTTTTGTTATTGATTTCTCGTCTTATTTTGTTTAACTCCAGCAGGTTTCAAGTAATTCATTCACCTCTCATTAGACTCAATGTCGCTACGATGGAACGTCATTATCAAACAGTTGAAAGCGTAATTTATTTGGAATGTTATATTGATCAGAAGTCGGTGGGGGGGGGGGGGGTGGGGGAGATAAAATTGTACGACAGGGCTCAGACGTCATTGGCGCGTGAAACTAAAGCTATTTTTTTTTCGTAATATTTTCGTGTTTTTTTCATAACACAGAACTTTACGATACCACATTTCGCTCTTGCTGTAAAATGAACAACTCGAAGAAGTTGTTGTCCATGTTTGGTATTAGTTTTGTGAATTCTGCCTCAATAGATTGAATTGAACATTTCCATTTCGGAAATTTAGGTCGTTAACAACAATCTCTAAATTAGCTAAAATCTATCCTTTATTTTGAATACAATGATTTTGGAACATACTTCGTTCTTTTTTGTTTCAAGAAGTAATGACTGCATTTGTAAATAGCTCCTTTCACCTAACGAGATATTCCATGCTTGAATGCCCCCTCCCGAACCTTAAAAAAGACAATATAAGCTCCCCTGCTGAGTAGAATAAAGTCTATTTACAAACAAGCAATGACAAGCAAGGTCAAGATGAGGGTCAGTGGTTACTAAAAGATACTATCAACATCTCATCAAAAGTGTATACGTTTTAAAATTTGTTACCTCGGGCACATCCGTGACTTCCACGAGGTAGGATTTGTTTATGTTTTTACAAATCGATACATTGTTCAGCGTAATATAAATATCTGGACTTGTGTGAAATGGAATGACAGCGAAGTAAGCTTGACTTATCACGTTGTTTTCTCCCAATGGAGAGGAGAGGAGTCGCACAGCTCTGGATAACCCTGAGCATTCCACAGTCAGCCACACGATGAGACAAGATTAAAAGACATCAAATCAGTGTAAACTCAAAGGCGGAAAATGTTGAACAACAACTCATCGTCAAAGAATTTAACAGAGTCCGAAATGTCCTCAGAAAATCAGTTGTGCTCGCTGTTGATACAAGTCCAGAAAGGGAACGACATCTCATATGAGGAATTTCGTTCAGTGTGTGCTTTCATTGCATTTACAAACGCTCTCATGGCCGTCATTGCTATACTTGGAAACAGTATGATTATTTCAGCTTTTTATCGCTCCGAATCGTTGAGAACACCATCTAACTTACTCTTGCTTGGTTTATCAGTTTGTGACTTTTTAGTTGGCTCAGTTACTCAGCCTGTTTTTACCACCGAAGTCGCTTTAGTCGCCGCAAATTCAGACGTGGCTTGTCGGTTCAAAGATTTCTACGTAATATTTTTGTTTTCGTTCTCATTTGCATCGATGTTACATGTTTGTTTGATTAGCGTCGAACGTACCTTTGCCATAATCCATCCGTTTAAACACCACCGGTTTTTAAACAAAAATAGAGTTGCAACATTTTTCCTCGCTTTTTGGATTTGTTGGACATTGCTGACAGTGTTCACTCGACGCGAACATGGCGGAGGTATTATTGGTTACTCACGCATGGGGTTCGTTATTTTTAGCGCTGTGGTGGTGTTTTTCATAAACATTCGACTGTGGATAGAAGCTCGGAGACATTCCAAAGTGATTTCAAGGCTGCTTCAACATTCGTTGCAGATGTCTTTACAAAGTTGCTCGACATCGCAAGAGACCGAATATGCAGAGACTAACATACGAAGAAAATCCATGCGAGATGCTAAGGCAGCTAAGACAGTTTTACTTATCATCGGTTTCATGGTTTTATGCAATTTACCACTCATAGCAACATTCACTGCACGTAAGTTTTACAATGTGCGCGGACGAGTAGTGACTTTGCTTTGGTTCGCTTCAAACACAGTCGTATTAATGCCTGCCATACTAAACCCAGTTGTTTATTTCTGGCGCAAAAAAGAGTTCAGGGTCTCTGTGAGAAGGATGTTTAATTTACATAATGCTGTCGGAGTGCAACCCTGACGCAACCCTTTCCTTAAAGAAATGCGTTTTATTTTTGGCTGTTTGCATCAAAAATTTAACGTCGTTCAATAGTGCGTGATCTTGACATAAATTACATTGTGCATAATTCAATGCGCTCGAACTTTCTACATATCAAATGTTTCCAACCGCAAAATATATCGTGAACCGATGAAATGTCACGAATGGCCAGTACCAGCTCAGGCATAAAAGACTGGCCAAGCAATCATATCTCTTTAGCAAGAACAGTGAACTATCTTTCTTGATGTAGTTCTTTAAAAAGAGGCTGGTAGGGAACGTTCAAGGAAAGTTTCAAAATAATCGTTCAGTGACTTTTGTTTCTGAGGAATATCTTAAGCGTTCTAAAATAGCTCATTTTCTGGATTCTTTTATGTTGTATGTTCGTAAATGATTTGCTGTTCTCATCATTTGCCTTTTTTTTCAATAAATGTAACTTAATTAGTTTATTTGTCTACCTTTCTGACTAAATATCCTTTTAAACAATCCTTTGCTCACGGCATACTTTTTGCATTAGAAGGAGACTTTTTTCTCTTTCTGTCATCGCCTCATACAAACGCAGGGGGATTGGAAGAATTCGAAAAAAGTTACAAAAACCTGAAAAGTAGTGTTGCTTTTCATCATTTTCTCTTACTGATCTACGTGCAATGCATGAATGGCAGGGGGGGATTTGGTACGAGGCACGCAAATTATTATTTGTTCTCAATCTCTAATCGTCTTATTTAATCTGTTCTCGTCAAAAGTTCTTAATGTACTATGAAATCAAGTTCAAGAAACCAGTGAAAACCGTCTAGGGATCGACTACATCAATCTGGCTAAGACGGTTTTGAAAAATAAACTTTTTCCAGATAATTTCGGATTCCTACCCAAAAAAAGCCTTTCAAATCCCTACCCCAACCTTTAACCGCATTTAACTAAACAAAACTTACCGTCTAGGGGTCGACTACATCAATCTGGCTAAGACGGTTTTGAAAAATAAACTTTTTCCAGATAATTTCGGATTCTTACTCAAAAAAGCCCTTTCAAATCCCTACCCCAACCTTTTACCGCATTTAACTAAACAAAACTTACAATAGGACTGTTTTGCAACACCTGTAAGTTTTTTAAACTAATTTGTGCCTGCTTCAAGGAAATAGCATGGAAAAAAGACATTTGATATATGCAGTTTGGAGAAATTGAGACTTGATTGTGTCGCTGTTTTTTTGTAACTCGGTTTTAACTTGACTCAAAGTGGTTTCATCCTTTCTAGATTCTAATTTCTTGTTGGATCGATGTTCGACACTTTTTCTTGTGTTGCCCTGAAAATGGTATCAAAAAAAAGCCCGATTTGTCTTAACAAGTTTGGAATCATGTATGATTCATGATTGTTTCCGTATACTGATCTGTCTTCAGAACAGCACTCAGCGCTCAATTTATCGATAAGAAGTAAATCAACTTCTAAGAGCTGTACATGTAACGTAGCACGTGCACGAAAGAGAAACCAGCCAAAACTTATACACAAGGATCGAGCTCTGCCTTGTTCCGACAAAAAAAATCTTTTGGCATGTTTCCACACGCAGCACTAGCAAAATTCACTCGAATCAAGTGATAACACTTTTATTTTTCCACTGAAGTACATACATACAGCTTTGCGCACCATGGGTTTTTGTTTTGAGCTCTTTTCTCAATTTTTAGGGAATAAGTCTCAATGTTGAGCTTTTTTTAATCCAGCGAGATTAAATGTTTTTCACCCTATCTCATTAATATATTATATCAGGTCATGTAAGGTGCAACACGCTGTCTCTCGTTGTACGCATGTGCTAGGTCACCGCTACTACCCTTACCTACAAAATAAAGCTAAACCGAAATGGGGATTTGTAGTCATAATTTCTCATTTTCAACTGTTTTCTCTATCCAGAAAGGAATTATCGAGTCCATACTCTCCATGCTCCTATTTTCTTTAGTAAAATGCGATCAGCAAGGAAGCTGTTCACGCAACGGGTGAATTAAGTCATTTCCCCAGCTTTTTGAGACTGAAGTGTTACGCTAAGGGGCTTAAAACACTTTGTGCTTAGATCTAGTTATTAAAGAGCTACGGATTAATACAGATTATCTGTTTATACTTAAGATGGGGATTGAACACCCCTAAGGCTACAAATGTCTTTTTTTTCTTTGTCTTTCATCTGGAATAATGCCAATATATTTCTCAATGTGGCACTTCAACAGCATTCTGCCAACCGAGCATTCTCTTTACAGAAATCCTGAAGTCCTTTTTGCGCCAGAAATAAGTTACTGGGTTTAGTGTGGCAGGCATTAATACGACTGTGTTTGAAGCGAACCAAAGTAAAGTCATTACTCGTCCGCGTACGTTGTAAAACTTACGTGCAGTGAATGTTGCTATAAGTGGTAAATTGCATAAAACCATTAAGCCAATGATTAACAAAACTGTTTTAGCTGCCTTGCCGTCGCGCGGGGATTTTCTTCGTGCTTGTGTGCCATTCTCTTCATTGGTAGCGGAATTAGGGTTTCCTGTAAAGCTCGCAATATTCCTAGAATGTCTTCGAGCTTCTATCCAAAGTCGAATGTTCAAAAGAAGCACTACCAGAGCGCTGAAAACAACAAATGTTATACGTGAGTAGCCAATTACACCTCCGCCATGATTGCGTCTGGTGGACACGGTTAGCAAAGCCCAAAAAATCCAAAACACTACCACCAAGACAGAAACTCTCTTGGTCGTCACAAGATGTTCATGTTTAAAAGGGAACATTATGGCAAAGGAACGTTCGACGCTGATCAAGCAAACGTGCACCACTGAGGAGGATGAAAAGGAGAAAAGGAAAATAACATAAAGATCTTTTAGCTGGCAAGCCAAGTCTGAGTTTGCGGCGACTAAAGCGACTTCGGCGGTAAAAACAGGCTGAGTAACTAAACCAACCAACAAGTCACAAACTGATAAACCAAGCAAGAGTAAGTTAGATGGTGTTCTTAGCTGCGCATATCGATAAAAAGCTGCGATGATCACGATGTTTCCAAGTATAACAAACAACGCCAGAAGAGCATTTGCAATCGCGATGAAGATACAGATTGCTCTGAAGTCTGGAAAAGAGATGTCATTTCCCTTTTGCACTTGTTTTAAAAAAGAACAAAATTGGCTTTCCGACGAATATTGAGCGTGATCCGTTTGGTTTTCTTCCGCAACAAAAATGTTGCTGTTGTTGAACATCTTCTAACTCTGTATCTTCCCTAATAAACCTTTTTCTATACTTGGATAGTATGGTGTCTTATCAGGAACAGCGCCCGTTTGAGATTGATATCCTTGTAGAACCGTTCTTCAGTAATCCTTTCAGTAAAGAATACCGAGATCAATTACTTAGCTAAATGGCTTTGCCTCAAAGCGTCTCCAATACTCTCATCGATTTTGCCAAATGACTGTTTCATTGTTCTAAAAAGCTAATCGCCTTTATTAAACGGGCACATTTGCGTCATCGCTGATTAGCTCATATTGTTTGGCGCAAGAGGTTTTTTCCTCTTCATTTAACCAGTCATTAATGAATTAACTCATTTTTGGCTAAATCGCACAGTCCACCACGACAGGTTTTTCCGATACACGGTTGTTATCTTTCCCTTCTAACTGAGAAGATTTATTTCAATCCCAGCAGGTTCTGTGGTTGTTGTGTTTTGGCGTCAGTCGACACTCTTCCGACGTATTTAATTTAGAATTTTCAGTTAATACCATGGACAGTTAAATTTTTTTCTCTGTTCACAAAATTTCTTCAGTTCTCTTAAAAATGCCAGACAAATTTGGAGTTAAGAAAGTTCTGCGGAAAATGATGATAGACTTAATTATTCTTACTGTAACGTTAAATTTTACTAAATATTTTTGATAGGGAATAATTCCTCATGCTAATGAACTGATATGAACAACAAAGATATAGAATTAAGACAAAGAGTGAATCAAATGCGTGGGACGTCTTTTGACGGGAAAAACTTCTTTTCTCGGATAAGACAGTTTAGTTCTGGAGTGAAAACAGGATTTTTCTCTCCGTGACGTATTTTTCAATTTTGTAATGTAGTCCTTTCCCCCGTCGAAAAGGTTGGGTTGGGTTAAAATAGCGAAAGAAGTTCGGCATTCACTGTAAGTGCTAAATCTTGTCTTCGTGACACTCAAGACTTAAAATTGAATTTATGACCTCGGAAGCGGTAAAATTACCGGGCTATAACCGAGTTTAGTCGTCTAGTTCCTACTGGGACAATTAGTAATGATCTGAAAACACAAGAAGTGCAGAAAATCATTCCAAGTGTACTCTTCTGTAACCATACGCTCAGATGCTTGAACGAATCCGTAGAAACTTTTTGTTGTGATAATAGAGTAATCAGCATAAGGACAGGCTTTATTTTTTATTTTGCTCTTGTTACTCAAGAAATATAGCTTCTTGTCATTTTAAATTACCTGATCGATGGTAATAAAACATTTTTCTGCCTTCAAGTAGCGATCACAATTAAAAAAATCCTATGATGGTACGTGTTCCGAATCATTTAATCCGCTTTCTAGTCATCTGAATCCCGACTCTAACTTTATCACTCGCCTGCCCAATAGTGGCTACATGGTTGAGGAAGATCTGAACAATCGAGTGACTTCTTTTGGCGACAAAACAAACTTTTCTATTATACATTTCAACACTCGAAGCTTAATGAGAAATTTCGATCAACTTAATTTATTGCTGAGAAATCTTAATATGCCGTTCTCTGTGATTGGTGTGTAAGAAACTTGGCTAACTGATTGCACTGCAGAGAACGTAAATATCAGGGGATATAATTTTGTCTCCAACCATCGTAAATCGAAAACAGGCGGCGGAGTTGGAATTTATTTACAAAACGGCCTTGAATACAAACTTCTCGAAGAATGCAAATTTTCAGATCCAGATGTAATCGATTGGAGCACTATGGTATCCGTGACGTGGCTCTGCCGTGGTTCAAAAGCTTTTCTTGCCGCCAGCAATTTGCCCAATTCAATCAAGCTTGCTCTCCTATGCAAACCATCAAGTGTGGTGTCCCTCAAGGTTCGATTTTAGGCCCTCTATTGTTCATTCTATACATAAATGACCTCCCTAATGCCTCTGAATCAACAGACCCTCTGCTTTTCGCTGATGACACCAGTATCTGTTATTCTCACTCAAACCCAAATTGCTTAGAATCCGTACTTAATGACGAACTCCAAAATATTGATGTCTGGCTAAAATGCAATAAGCTCTTAGTTAATATAAGGAAAACTAACTACGTAATTTTTAAACCCAGACAGAAGAAATTTAACTCCGGCATTTCTCTCTCCTTTGGAGGTAAACCCCTAGTTTAACATAACTAAATTCCTTAGGGTCGATATTTATAATCATCTCACCTGGAAACACCATATCAGCTATGTATGTAAACAAATCGCTAAATCAATAAGTATTATATTCAGGTCTCGCTTTTTCCTATCCTCTACAACCAAGCTCGCTCTGTACTACACCTTAATTTATCCTTATATTATCGTCTATTGTAACTGTGCCTGGTCGTCCACATACGTATCTAACTTAAATAGAATTTATTACTTGCAAAAGCGAGCTGTGCGGGCTATCACCAACTCAGACTATCGAGCCCATTCCGCTCCTTTATTCTCTAAACTAGGAATTTTAGATATTTTCCAAGTCAGTACGTTTGAAATCGTCAAACTCATGTTTTACTATAGAAATAACTTATTGCCTCCATTGCTTCTCAATCTTTTTGTAACGAATAGCCAAATTCACAACTATGGTACCAGAACAGCCAGTAATTATCGAACGTATTTGTGCCGTACAAATCTCAAGCAATTTACAATTCTTTACCAAGGTCCTAAAATTTGGAACTCTCTTCCTGTTTCAGTCACTCGTTCGTCAAACCTTCTTAGTTTTAAGACGAATATGCAAGAGTTTTAACTTAAATAATCCTTGAATTGGCCTAGCCGCACATTTGCAGCACTTTTTCTTTACTTTATTTATTAATGTAAGTGAGGTGGCTCTCCCATAAGCCCGGTGGCTTCCTAGGTCTCCTCGCCTTCTAGCTATAACCGCTGTAAATAAATTTTTTTGTATTGTGTAAATAAGGCAAATAAAAATATGATGATGATGATGTGTTTTATCAAAGGTTTCGCTAAAATACTTGAAAACACACTATTATTAACCTTAAAAAGACTTGGTTTTAAGTCCATTTTTCAGGATTCGAAACCAAGTACGTTAAAATTTTTCGCAGACAATAACTGCCGCGTATTATGGACCTAGATAAATAATGTAGATTCCAACTGAGTTTTTCCTGTCTTTTGTCGCTTTAAGTATTCATCTTGAAAAGGAAGTTACTTTTGTGCTGCCGAGAGAGGTTGTATGGAACAAGGAACGCCGGAAAACTGTCAAGCTACATATGAAACATTTAAATTGAAGAAGATATGGGTTAAATAAAAACCGTAAAAGTGTACGTGGGAATAATCAGCATTGGAAACATGCTGTTAACATGTAAATGCGCTCAACGTATCCGCACAGCTGCTTTGTAATTGCGTTTATTTTCGACTAATATAGGCAGCAGATGATATAAACATTTGGTCAGGAATTAATTTTTGTGTTTTAGTTTTCCAAAATGGATTCTCTGTCTCCCGGTTTGTACGATCAAACCTCGACCTTTTGATCTGAATCCACGCATACGTACAGCTCCCAAAAATTAAGTTTGATCAGTAACCAAGAGAGATGTAACAAGTACCTAGGGCTAATTTTTGGCGTGGCGCTTTATAGAAATTCAGTAATGTTTTCTAAATGCATTAAATTGATCTCCCACAGGCTTTCTGACAGTATATCGTTAGCAAAACGTCATACATCATTCCCGCCCTCTCACATGGCTGAATGATCCCGAAAATTTTGCCTTTGGTTTTCAAGAGCAATCCTCTTTGTCCGTGAAGAATAAAGGCAATAACTTTTATCAAAAAAATAAGTAAATAAACAAGCCGATAAGATGAAAAAATAGCAGAAGACTTTCTAAAAAAAGAATCGTAAGGCTGCGCTGAGTCTTATGTGTAAACAGATCGGACGACAGCTTTAAATTTATTCAGACTTGCTTCCCAGACAGAATATTAATTCAAAGAGTTCTGGAACATCTTTCGACATCCTGAACTCCCGACTGCCCTGAACCTAGGGACCTACCCTCCTGTTGAAGTGAAACTCGAGAAATTCTTACACGAATCTTAATTCATGTAAAACGGAATAGAATTTAAGAAAAACCAGCGATGAAATTGATTGATACGAAATATCATTGGTAAATATCATGTAAGGAGAAACTAATAATATTTGCAAAACTTTTTTCACGGAATACTGATTATAATAGGATTTTTCTTCGTTCACGTGACGGCGTTTATAAGTGGAAGAAGTCAAAGTTACCCAGAAGATATCCATGTCCTAAGAGGCAGTAACTATCTATTATTCTCAATTTTTCAGGCGAAAAGAACTTTTTTGTGTTTTAAGAACATCGGTTTCTGTAAGTTATTCCAGTGAGTATGTCTTAGCTTGCACGTGCCCCCGCCTTGTAGTAGGAACATTTTATGCGATGATACCGTTCTTGTAGCTTGTTTAGTTTTCCCAGTTCAAATGTCACGTCAGATAGGCTAATGAAAAACTAGGCCGGTACGGTGAGATGAATACTGCAAAATCAATGACTGATATTGGAATTGATATCAGAGAGAAAGACAAAATTAATGAGACCACACATATCAAGGAGCGCAAGAACTGCGCTTTGCAAGCCGTGCAGATCCAAAGCTGGAACAACTTGTCGCGTCTATGAAAGATGAGCGCTAAAAAGGACAATGAACTAATTCTTTGAACGGCGATCAACGACACTTATTGGCCCTCAAAATTCTTAAATGGCGTCATCAGATCAAAAAAAATTAAGCATCATGACAGGCTGCACCTGCCGCCAGCTTCCAGTGGCGAACTTGATGAGGAAGTCTCGAAGAGCAAAGCGGACATAATATACCGCGGCGAACGACCAAGTCCTGCATTTGTTTGCGACTAGTTGAAAAAGGTTTCTCTGTTCTATAAATACTTCACCAAGTGACGAAAACCGGTGACAAAGCCAAGAGTGATAAAACATTGCTTCAAAGACAGATAAAAGTCCACTTGTATGAGAAAGCTGTTGCTGCACGATATACGAAGAGAAGGGTACATTGCGCCCGGTGTAGCTTCTCAGGTGAAGATTACTTTGAAAAGCATAGGTGAATAAGAGAGTCCTACTAGCGGGCAAAAAGCAGCTAAAGCTAATTTAAGACAATTGAAAAGTTAATTTTAATGTATTTCAAGAGATCAGAGATGGCAACTTGAAATTTTCACATTTTTCAATGTGTATCCTCTTTAGTAAGTTATCTTTTTCCAAGATGAAAATCCTGTGTGCTGCACGCTTAGAGTTAAATAAAAAAAGTTAGCAAGAAACAATATTTGAAAATTTAGATCCACAAAATGCAAACTTTTCTATTCATCTTTTTAAGCATCATTTTCTTTCGAGCGGTTAATGACAATAGATTATCACCTAAATTTAGAATGGCCTGACCTTTATTGACAACAGTTTTTCAAAAGGTAATTTTGGCAAACATTCAACAATATTGAAGTAGCTTTAAGATATCTGCCTTGCGCTGCCGTAGTCAAAAACAAACAAAAGAGGCATTTCACGGCAATTTTAAGTCCCACAGTAGTAAGAAAATGCAAAAACGAAAGAAAAAATATATATTAAAATTAAATATGATCTTTTTCGTAAAAAAAAAATAAATAAATAAATATGTTAGTAGTCTTGAGCAGATAATGATCATGAATAAACGTTAAACGCGTCAAACAGTAATGGATTATGACGCCCATGCTTGCTTGTAAGAAATAATTAGCTCAGCCAGATATTCTTACCACTTTTTTTAATCGTATTTTCAGGCCTCCTCAACCTGTATAAACTCCCCGTGAATAATCCAAATGTACATGGAACTCACAAAGGTTTAAATTGGAAGTGAGCGTCAGAAGACAGCGAAAAAAACAGAGAAGATAGAGGAAAGAAGGGCTGACAATATAGTTGGAAGTACGGTGAATCATTACAAATTCATATTACGAAGCAGAACTGCCCGGCAACAGACGTTTTTTTTTTTGCAATGTTTGATGTTAAAATAATAGCCTTCTCCATGCTAGCAATTTATTCTTAAAAACCGTGGCGCAACCTTCTGTGATTCAACTGTAAACTTAAATTCTCTGAAAATGACCTCCGACTTTGCACAAGCGTGTGTCATGGCTGTTCTTGCAACAGCCGCCTTGCTAGGTAACATTGTAATATGTCTCATGGTATATAAACATAGTTGGGTCTTGCATCCAACGAATGACTTTGTTATTAGCTTAGCATTGTCAGATATCCTCATGGTGGTTATTCCAGTACCTCTTACGATCGGTGCTATGATAATGGACTCGGCTCAGTTCTACAGCGACACAACTTGTTCCATTTATGGGGTTTTCAACGATTTCCCTAAAATGGCTTCTATTTTTACTCTGGCATTTGTTGCCATTCAGCGGTATTACAGGATCGTCAAGCCCCAGGAATATGAAAAAACATTTACCCCTGGGTATTCTATAATCATATTGATGATAATCTGGGTCGTTTCGGGTTTATCTTCTGGGTTTCCCGTCATGGTATCCTGGGCTGAATATAAATTCCATTCCGAGTATCTGGGATGTTATGTCACATTCAAATGGGACCTTCAACGATCAATTTGGAATGTAAGCTTGCTATTTGTAGGAATTGTAATTCCTGCGTTTTTAACATTCAATTGTTATCGGATCATTTTCCGCATCATCCGCGGGCGAAAATGTGAAGTTGACCCTCGGGTAAATGCTCGCCAAATGTTTACCAGTAAAATGTATCGCCTCACAAAAACTTTCTTGATCGTCTCAATAGCATCTATTACTTGCTCTTGTCCTGCAGCAATCTTGCTCGTTGTTGATCAGCTTTTTTCACTACATATTACTCTGATCGCAGCAAGGATTGCATTCTTTTCCACTGTGGTCGCCTCAGCGAGTAAGGTGTTTATCTATTGTTTGGTCAATCGACCTTTTCGGAGAGAGTTGAGAAACCTAATTAACTTTATTTAGTTTAAGGGTTATTTAGGGTGAGTTAAAGTTCTTTTAAATCGATATAAAAACTATATTGCTATAGAAAGCAGCTTTCGTTCGCTTGGCAATTGCCATATTTCTCCATTGAGCTCCATTGACGCTAATGTGTTGTAGGTATGGAGCAATCCTGCACTTTTTGATAACGTTTTCGGTCCTTTTTTTGAATATTTTTCATTTGTGCCTCGCTAGAAGAGAAATAACGACGCATCAACGTATGTTTAAGACAGAGTTAGTTATTGATACGTTCTTTATAGCATATTAAAGGACTTCAACAAGAGATTAAGTTACATATTTTAAGTGTCTATATTTTAAGTGTAAATAGGTGCAGTGTTGCTTAAACTGACAGATCAGCAGAAACACTTTTTTGGTCAAATAAGAGTAAGCTTAAAGAAACACTTAGTACAACCAGTGACCGTCACCATCAAAAATCCACAACTGAATTTGTTCGAAAGCATTAATAATGTTTTCTTTGATACAATGTATTAAGATGCAAAATTCTTATTGTAACTACTTGCATGAGGTCTAATAAAGCTATTACAATTTATACTGTTGCGGCTTTCCATTTTGTAAATTTTCTTCTCTTGAACCTCAAAGAACATAACTTTAACAGCCAAGGTAGGTAGGCTCCTTAGGTAAGGGACTACTGTAGTTCCTTTCATTACATTTTATTACATTATAACAGTTAATTTTCTGCTTAAAAAGTTTTGTTTACTGCATTTTTCAATTGAGTGTCCAACATAATTTGGAATTGCGTTGGTTTTGCGTTACTGATTGTTCGAGAAAATTCACAGCACCAATGACCAATCAGATGGAGAACTAAAGTCAGTAGCGAATTGGTTATGTATTACTCATTTTTCTTTGAATTTTAATTGGCTCGTTATGGTCTTTTCCGTTCTGATTGGCTTTTGTAATCACTTCGGTTTTTGTTTTACAACACTCAATTGAAATGCGCTCTATAACTTGTTTATACACAATTTACATTTAGGGCATGTAAGCCGCCTAAATTTTATAACAGAACTTTGACTCTGAAACTGAGCTGACGGAAATATTGAAAACTGCGTCATGTTATTTAAACCTAATCGTGGTTTGAGCAAAATGTTTTCCTTTTCTCGGTCTTGATTGTTAGCAACCTAGATAGCAACTTAAAAATGACAGTTAAATATTGTAATAAAAAATTTGAAATTTTAGCAATGAAGGAAAGTAATAACTAAAGAAACAAACTCATATGAACTTGATTTGAGAATCAATAAATGCTTGCCGAAGGCGAGAACCTGTAATCTTTATAAATAAAAAATCCAAACTACATGAAAGGTGTTGTAGACACGTTGAACTCATTATCGGAAGTATCCCGGATCGATTTGATCTTTTTTTGCGGCTCCTTGAATTGTGATTATTCAATAAGACTCCTGCAGTCATCTCGACCTACCAAATGCGAAACAAAAATTAATAGTGCTGATTTGGTACCGACTACTCCTGCGGTCGAGACCGTACAGAAGTATTTTTTTTTAGCTATTTTTGGTTGCATGCGATGTTAGCGTCAATAGCGTCAACAATGAAAATTGTGTTTCATTTTATGATGAATGTTCTGTTAATATCTGTTTAATTCCCAGATGTGACAAGCTGTTGTGACAGTTTTCCTCATTTGCATATTTCTCATTAAGTGGTCCAACGTAGCTGTCAAATATTTCTTTTCACATCGAGGAACTACCACATGAGATTTCAGTCTACTTTGCTGATTCTTTATCCCTATTTTTTATTGAATTTTCTTAGTCGTCATTTCCTTTTTTCTCTTATGACATCACATAACACTTCTCGACTTTCCTGCAGAAAGCGTCCACGTGGTTATTCATCGTGGTGATGCGATCTACATCACACGTGACTACATCGTGAGACAAACGAAAAAACTTAGCTTTTATGTATAGTCTTGTCTTGGAATAATAATTTTTACTTTCCTAAGCGTGACTCCTACCTCGTGCCTAGAATTTTATCGGTCGGTAGGATTACCTTTGACATAAAGGACTGGGTTAGAATTGAAGCTAAGTTTTAAGACCTGATTTACATGAAGATCCTACTGTTTTTGAAGTGCTTGCTGACAGTGATACTGTTTTCTCCAGACTCATTTCTAAACATGGCGGACGAAGAGCGAGAGCCCAACTTACGCGTCTTGACCTTGAATTGCTGGTAAGGAAGTGTTTTGATCGTTTCCCTTATATTCGATCCTGTTTGATTGAAAAAAGAAATGCTCGTTTTCAAATGCTCAACATTTGTCTCAATTAGTGTAGATAGTTTCCATTGTCGTTCTTTTAAAAATATCGAAAAATTAACCTGCCTAGGCAAACATTGGGATCCGAATTGCTGTCGGCTCGCTGGAAAAAATTTTACTGCTGCTACCCCGTTGGTATTATCTGTTAATTCAAAGTTTTTGGAACTGTTTTAATTAGCTTTAGATTGATACAATTCCTAAATTTCGTTTTACACTCTTTTTACTCTGACTGGTAATGAATTTTGAGAAGGTTCTTGTTTAAGCTCGTGATATACATGCACTTGGTCGACTTCCGGTGATGACTTCTTCTATGTTCAATTTCTATAAGGGGTATACCTCATGTGTCCAAAATGTGGGAAGAACGTAAAGTGCTGATTGCTGAGGAACTTGCCAAAGGTCATCATGATGTAGTAACACTTCAAGAGGTACTTGAACGACTTAAATTTTTAGTAATTCTCAGTCACTGTGCAGGCCCCGGTTGTTTGGAGGGCGGAAAACGCTATCCACCGGATAAATCTCTATCTGGTGGATAGTGCAGTACGTTTACTTGACACTTATCCACTGGATAGTGATATTTCCGTAGGATAGCATTATTGGCCCTGTGATCAACTTGACCCAGGTGATTATGGATGTTGTGCATTGCCTTCTTTTCATTGTTATTTTCACTGTGATGATTATGTTTTCAATTGTGGTATAATTTTTAAATGTTGATGAAAGAATTTGTGTAGCCTGGAATTAAAGCAAACTCTCTTGAAGGAAGTTTTAGATAGAGGAGTGGGCTGCATGGGTTCTAATCCTTCAATGTGGGTAAGACCTAAGAGAGCTAGCTCAAAAGCTAATTTCTCTAAGATCTAGGATAATAATTTTTTCCAACCTGGGCAGTATTTGTCTAACCCTTTAAATGATAGGCATTAACTGAAAGATGAAGCCTGAGAATGCATTGGTAACAGTGAATTTCAGGTTTTAACGTGCAAAGCTTGGTGGGGTTGGATACTCTGCCCCTAAATGTCTGATATAGTAAAGAAATGATTTAGCTGGGAGTATAGAGCCAAAATATGGAATGTTTTTTTTTATTTTGTTATACAAATTATTTTTATTATGGATTATGTTTTTTTTTATTTTGTTATACAAATTATTTTTATTATGGATTATGTTTTTTTTTTCCCACAATCTGTATATCTACACAAGCATGAACACATGATAGTGGAAAATGTTCATGTGATCAACTCAGCTTCACCAAACATGTCAGATACTGTTCTGCCTGAACGATCATGAGACAGGGGATAAATACATTCTTGCCAGTCAGACAGCACAGTGCACGTGTTTCACTATGACATGTTTCTCTTTTGTGTTTTGTTTTGTTGTTTTTTTTCCCTGAGGTTATTATTTACACACTTAAGAGCATGAAATGAGGATTTCTGTGATGCAGATATCAGTAAGAAGTTGAGAGTTCCTTCCCATGGCAGTTACCACAGACCTTTCTTGTGAAGTGTTAAGTCTCAAATGCTCAGAGAAGGACCTGTAATTTATTGGTTAATGTCTTGAAAATTTTAAATTCCTTCAATAAATTTCAATTTTTTTATGAGCCTCTTGATCCTATTCAAACTTTTCTTTCACAGATTTGGAGTAGAAGTGATTATGAACTGATTAGTCAAATAGTTAATGAAGTTCTTCCATACTCACACTATTTTTACAGGTATGAAAAAGCAATAAAAGAAGTTATCAATCTTGTGCAATCAGATGATGAGTATACATAATTTAATGCTACATGTTGATGTGATCTCAACATAAAACATTTTATTCAATTTTCTTATAGCGGTGTGATTGGAAGCGGAGTTTGTGTGTTCTCTCGGTATCCAATCATTGATGCATATTTTTACCGGTATTCTCTTAATGGCTACATGTACAAGATTACCCATGCAGACTGGTTTGGTGGAAAAGGTGTGGGATACTGTTTGATTGATCATCCCAAGCAACTAATTCATTTCTTTGCCACTCATGTAAGTACATAATAATATTATGATTTTAATTTGAAGTTATACACTTAACAAATACTATAAAAAGGGTGTGAGCTCATTGAGGTGAATGTTGGTACTCTTTGAGATCAATTTTTAGCATTTACCTCAGGATGTAGTCACTGCAGTTATGAATTTGCAACATTTTGACCCCATACCGCAAACTTCACTTGATTGTTTCTGTTTCCTTTTTTTCTTTTTTTTTTTAACTGCAAAAAAAAAAACTCCACACAGTGTCAAGAAATTGCTGACTCTGCAATCTAAGCTCCAATATTTGCTGTCCCCTTTACAGTTTGCACTGTTAGAACTGAGATAGGGGTTATTGGAATTGTATTGTAACTTACCTGAGTTTATCTGAGTTACCTTTCATTAATTACCTAGTTATCATCTTGAAAAACACTATTGAGGTGTTGGAAGTTGAGTTATTTTGCTCTACTTGATTTGCATGCATTTGTCTCTTTGATAATTTATGATTAATGTTCTGTTCCTTCTTTAAGACACATGCAGAATACAATGAAAGTGGAGAGTATGCCCCCCACAGAGCAGTCCAAGCATACCAACTCTCTCAGTTTGTTCATCACTTGACAAAGCCTTCTGACGCAGTGTTAGTTTGTGGTGACATGAATTGTGAGCCATCCCAGCTGTTTTATAGGATTATCAAAGATGTTACTGGACTTATTGATGCTTGGGATAAACATGGAACAATCAAGGTGAGAGGTTCTCTACCATTATAAACTTTAATGTAGAAGAGACAAGGTAACTGCTTTTCATTTTTCTTATAGTCAGTTTTGTATTTTCTTCCTTCAAATAAATTGTTTTCTTATGCAGTCCTCTTAATCATTATTTTCAAATCTATGTTCATGCACTCTTGCATGTAGTTGATTTTTACTTTGTTTGGCAAAAAAATGTTGCCTATCAATAGGCTTGTTTTGATGAGAAACATTCTACAACTGTACTGATTGTTGGTAAAAAAAATACAGTTATGGCTCATGTTATATACAAATGACAAATATCATAATACTGGGCAATGTTTTGCTCATGAACTTTACAAGGGAACACTTAATATCTTTAAATGATTATGTCACCTTTGAATATATGACTTTCTCTTTCTACAGTAATTAAATTTCCAAAAAATTGAGAAAGTAACCTTTTTGACAAACTTTTTTCTTTCACAGCCTGGTTGCTATGGTAACACATCAGATGTCAGTTCAAATACGTTTTCAGGAGATAGGAGTGATGCTACTGTTTCTCAAGAAGGTGGACCTGAGGATGGAAAGCGCATTGATTACATTTTTTATCAGAGCAGTCAAAGAAGTTTAGAATGTACGCATTGTGAGGTTACCATGGGACATGTCCCAGGAAAGACATTCTCATTTTCAGACCACGAAGGTGTGGCTGCAAGCTTTGTGGTGACAGACACAATGGCTGATGAGACAGGTAAAATCATTAGTACTAATAACCATACTTAGTGGGTAAGTGTGTGGAACAGCTCCCCTCCACCAGCTTTTGATTAGTTATTGGCCAACAGATTACTCACAGACTACCTTCTAAACTTTGAAGTAAAGACCTCCTCTTCCAGTCTGTCACATAAATCCAGCACAGTTTGAAGAGATAACTAAAAGAATTTTTCAGTGAGTGAAGGTGTGACAGTCTTAGTAGCATTATGTAAATGTGCAAGTACTACTATCATAGATGTTCTAATAATCAACTGTCAGTCACCTCACTAGGCAAACATTGGTTCACAGCCGGCTTGCACTTTTGCTTGTCTAATTTCTCTTGACCAAGTTTACAACTTCAGGATGTTGGCTAGCGGTCAGCCAACTCAAAGTCTGCCTCTTGATTCCTGATTTGTTCTATGCGAAACTGTTAAGAAATTTACCCTCTCTAATGAAGGTTTCTAGTAATTATTTTCTCTCTGCATAGGTGTTGGGGTATGTATCTGATGATCAGTTCTTTATTTTTATTACGCTATCTTGTCATGTTAGGCAACAGCCATTTAGAATGATTTTAACCTGAGAACTCACGCCTTATTGATTTTAAGGTGCAGGGGACAGAAACCCCTGAGAATAAGGGGTTGGGAATTAGGAGTGATTGTGATATACCAAAGATGAGAGAAGAGAAGGTGGGAAGTAGAAAAGGTGAAATGCAAAATGCAAAAAATTGTTAATCTGCATTTTTTTACAATAGAGGATGGGAGGGAGGATTTAAGGATGCTGAAAAGGGTAGGGTAGCTGAAGTGGGTGGATACTCCCCCTTCCCTGCCATTTGAGAAGAAACCCTATATATATTTCAGTTGTTAAAGAAGTTTTTTTTTAACTTGTGTATAATTTTCATAAAATTCATCTCTTTTTTTTTTTCAAGATTCATTTCAAGCTGCAGTTTCTATCAGCAGCAAGGGACGAGAAGCCTTATCTGAAACACAAAAAATCATTGCCGGTGCAATTGATGCATTGTCCAGACGACAAAACTTACAAGTGTTTGTTGCTTGTGCTCTGTTGCTCTTCGCAGTTTATCCTGTCATGTTTCCTGCTGCAGAACACTCTCACTTTTCACTGCACCATGTATTTGGCAAGATTTTGTATCTGATTCGCATCATTGGGACTTTTCTTGCCTCAGGATTTCTGTTCTACGGTATTTTCAATGTGAGAGATGAGTATAGTGTCTACAAAGCTGTTCAGGAAATGATCAATGTACAACTAAAAAAGATGTGTAATAGAAAAAGGATGAAGGAGAATTCTAATTGACTTGAAATCCCAGAAAGTAAGGTTGGGTGTAGTTTGCATAAAAAAAAGTCTTCTGAATGAGAAACATTTTTGAAATCATACTTACAGATGATGGGTAGTTAAGGGAAGAATTGTTGACTGATGCTGGCTGGGTACAGGAATAACCAAAGACAAATTCTACTTAAAGTGGGGTTTCAATAAGGTGGTAATTATTAGCTGGAACTCTTCACAGATGTTTGATAATTGTCATTAGCATTATTTTTAGGAGCTATTTTCATTTCTCTCATGAAAGATAATTTGTGCTGTGTATCAGATTTTATCCAAATATCTATCATATTGGTAAAGTTTGAAAAAGGAAGCCAAGCATATATTTTGGATACTTTTTATCAAAATGAAAGAAAGGTTTTTTTTGGATGAAAAATGCATGGAAAATGTTCAGGATATCAGAAAAAATATTTGCATAAGAGTAGCTGTGGAAATATACACTCGGTTTCTGACACTTTTTGCCATATGTATACCAAAGAGAAGAATCACAAATTGCACACGAGTACATTCAAAACTTCTATAATTTTGCAGAGCAAAATTTTACTGAAATTGCTCCTAGTTTGCATTTTGTGATGTTTAAGAGGCAGCTTAGATGCAACAGTTGTAGTTATATTTTAATAACTTTTAATAAAATTATATTTTTCTGTATGCAGTTTAAGTGATACAAGCCCACAACATTTTGTCTTCTTCCATAGATTTATAATTATATTTTCTCTGAACCAATTTATGCAAATGACAATTGGTAGGAAAAAATGTCAATATAACAGCATCTAAACCCTAGCTAAACAAAGCCTAAAAATATTTAGTAAATGACATGTAATTCTATCTGTATTAAACATATATCAACTAAAGATATAATGTTCAATTCTTTACAATTGGGGATAAGTTCTGTAGCATTCATCACTGACATTGTAAGATTAATATATTGTTTGTTGAATAAAGAGAGGATTATTACTTTTGATGATAAAAAAAAATTACTAGAGCCATTACAGTTTTATTTGCACTGTTAAGGGTGCTACCTGGGAAAATTCAAGATAAGGTTTGCGCATAAAATGGGAAAAAGCAGGCTTGCAGATCAGAGACAACAAGCCTACCCACAACAAGTGTAACCAGTTATGACTTTCACCTATTGATCAATGACAGTTCACAAAACTGTGTACAGTCACCTGCTTTGAAAATTTTACTTGCTGGGGGCAAAGGTATGCTGACTAAATACACAGGCTACGATACTGCCATCCATTAAATCAATCATTGGCTAAAAAAAAATGTTAAAAGCAATGTTCAAGTGTTATTGATTTTTCCAAAGCTTTTTGTTTTAGAAAACCATTTCTCTATGTTACTCCTCTTGTGTAATGTAAGCTCAGATGTGCTAAGTTCAAGAAAGGGATATGTCTGAAATCAAACCTAGGCACTAACTAAAATAGATACTACTTTTAAAAAATTTAAACAATATAGAAAACTCTAACCTGCTTTACATATTACAACAAAACATATTTTCTAAAATTAAATAAAAATAAGATTGTTGTTCTATGAAGAATTACTTTTATATTTAAAGAGATATTATTACAAAAATAATTCACTGCATTATATTTAGCTATTATCACTATTACAAACATCTCTGTAAGTCCACATTTAGCATCATTTAATTTGCTGCTCCAATGCAGTTATCTTCCTCTGAGCTCCATGTATTAGATAAATTTTCTTCCACTGAAGCAAATTTCATCATAGCAAAGAGCATCGCACTCCCATCTCTCTGTAAGGATTGTTTGCATTTGGAATTTTTCCCAGTAGAGGGTCATCAGATCTCTTCTCTTGGCAGAATCGAGAAAGGCTATAAAGAAAACATTGAAAAACAATTAGAAAGGTTTTGATACAAATAAAAATAAAAAAAGTATTAGATACGTGTGATAAGTGAAAAAATTCAAATTGTACTGGTACATAAGAAAGATACACTTGATAGGGGTACTTTTTCCAATTAAATCATTTCTAAATTTCTGGTTTGATAAGTATGATTGGCATCTAATATCTCCCTACAGTATCACTGCTGAATCAAACATTTACCATATGAGAATGAAGGAACTAATCTCTGACTAAAGAAGCTTTTGACTAATAGACAAATTCTGCTTTGCCAGTTCCTATTAAACCATACAAGAAGAAGCCTCATTGCCTCCTAGTGGACCAATTACTTTGGGTGTGCTGTTAAGTCACTTTAAACCAATTGCAGTCTTCCATCTTTACTTAAACTCAGACCAGTTGGAATTCATGTGACATGCTGTAGCCACAAAATTCAGTTGCAGTGATGTGCAGATTTTCACAGGAATTCTTCTTCAAACAAACTGTGACTTGTCCTGGTAATGTGTGACATGGAGTTTATACCCGAGATGGCTCATCTTCATCATGCTATCATAGCTGGCATCAAGTATGGAAGGAATACTCTTTCAAATTATTGGCAGAGCACCTATCCAGAATCTCCAAGGAATTTTAAAATCATGCTATTATTAGTTGATCTGATATCAAATTCTCTGAACTAACATTGTAGGAATTGTATGGCAGACAGTAAGGAGAATTATCAATGGGATCTTAGGAGAAATACAACAGTAAACTTCACCATCATCATTATTGAAACCCTCTCAGTCAGTCTCTACAATCCCCCAGCAAGTCAACACACATGACCTGTCTGGTGACAATTTAATAAACTGCAATATAAACAGGTGAATAGGCTAATCATGTAACCAGCTGCTTTCGTTTGTTTAACTATCCCCATAGCACGTTTGTGGTCTATACTTCAGTTATTGTTCCCATTCACTAAGTGATTGGGAGTCAATTGATAATCTAGGTCCATCTTTAAAAAAACCGAATTAATCGAAAATTTACGTTTGAAACAACGCATTTCCTGTGAAATATTTAAGAGTATTTTTGCACGTTAAGTCTCCAGTTGAACTAAACAACCGCGGAGCATAATGCAGTCTACCAAACAAATGATCGGCAAAGTAAATAAGAAGGATCTAGTAAGAACTATAACTGGCTTAAGTTATTTTTTCAACCAATATCGAAAGCGTAACTTGTCAAATAGGGTTTCCAGCGGAACAAACTCCAGCCATCAATATCGCATTTAGTTCTGATATTTACGCAACCAAATATCACATTTTAAGAACTTAAGGTAAAATGTCATGAGCTTTTAACGTTTTGAAGGAAAATACAAATAAAATTCAATTTGAATTCACCTACGATACGATAGGGGTATTATGCCAGAAGTGTGGCGACTTTCATCCGCGCGATTACAGAAGGATATTTCTGCACGAACGTCACTGTTCTAGAAAAAAAAGCCTCCCATGCAAAATGGCTTCGACCCTTTTAAATCATGGATCGTTCTATTTGAACACGAACAATGCCAGCAAAAAGAGCAATTAATTAATAATCAGAACTTTAAAAAACCTGGCAATAAGCTTCAGTTAAATGTACTCAAGCGCGAACTTTTACTTACTCTTCGGAACAAACCGAGATCTTCTTTCTGGATATTTTACTTTCTCTCCTGAGTTGATCTACTTGTCTTCTAAGGTTATGATAGTCTTGTTCTCGCTGTGAGATCGTCGACTGACCGTACATGTTTACAAGTTTCTGTGCCAAAAAATGCGTGAAGTGACGACTAATCGCCTCAGCTCTCGAAAACAGCAGCGATGGCTCTCGTGACATATAAGGGTGGTTACCTAGATGAAGCGGATGTTGACTGCAGATTCCAGAAGAAGTAGTTGATTGGTGAGTTTTACGCGGACAATACTCTTTCGAGGCGAAGGGGTTGGGTAAAATTATTGTACAGGGGTGAGCTATTCTTTTGAAGAGAGTAGTATTGATATTAGCTTGTAACCTTTGAAGCAATTCCAGATTATTCCTCAAGCTCATCGCCTCTAACGAGTTCTGTTATCAAAATGTAAGGTGTTCAATTACCTTAGAGTTTTTATCACTTGCGGATTAAAGAGAAACCCACATGCGTCATTTCTGCCAGTATTCCATTTAATAGCACATTTGTTTGACAATAAGCCACTTGGATCAACGTTAGGGTAAAATTTGTAAAATAAGACGCATTATATACCTAAAGCGTGGGAAACCTGCTGTGCGCGTGCAAAAATATTCCTCCTGATCAAATGTTTCGGATTACCTCGGCCTGTTAGAACATGTGAAGTTATTTCTGTGTTGTCACCAATATCTTGATAAGCTCCAATATTTCGACTGCTTTGTTTTCTTTGTTCTACGTCACTCGTGAAAGTAACAGCTTCTTAAACGATGAGCAAAATTTATATTTCAAACCTTGTAGGTTTGTAATTTTTAAAATCGCATTTCTGCGTTTTCGCCTCCAAGAGCTCTCCTTAGCGTGAAACATCAAATTGTAGTAAAAGAAATGGTACTAAACTATTTGAAATAACTTACATTAGATAATATCTTCTGTCTATCTTTTAGTTTAAAAAGACTACCTACGTAATTTAAGGTTGCAAAGTCGTTGCATTTGTACTTTATAATATTTAATGCGTAGAAAATTAGAATCCTAACAATATGATCTGAGAATCATTTTTGTTCCATCCTTGGCTAGATTATATTGCATGGGGAATACAATGTGTCTCATTTGCCCAAACCATTCAAATAAAAAAAACTGGCCTCGCCTAAGTTTTCAACAGCCAGAGGTAGTAAAGAAAGAAGTAGGATTTTAGCCTTTGTCGATACGACAACCAACTCATGCCCAGGGTCCCTCTTCCTCCCGGCCTCTAAGTTCTCAAAGATAGTGAGTGTGAGCAGTGGTAAGATTTGTGAGAGGTGAGATTCGGAAGAGAGACCATGAGAATGAAGTTGGGTGAAAGCTAGCAAAGAAGACCAAGTTCCACATTATGTTGCTTTCTCCGCAAAAGACCTAAAGGGCTTCCTTTGTTTATCTCTTTTCAACGACTGGTCCTCTTCCTTGATTTCCAAAAAAGGAAAATTCAACAAACTACCTCAATTTCACGAGATCAACTGATAAGAAAGTGGGCAATAAGCGTACGGCGCCAATACGGTCTGAGTATCTAAGAACTACAAGGTCATTAAATCATTATTGAATATCTTGTCGTTTCAACATCTGAGTAATTAATCGAAATTAAAAAAATGATACTGGAAGTTCATGTTTTGTTTTCTGCTTTTAGTTCCTGCCAACAACGGCTAGCAAGAGTTTCTTGTAGTCTCCGCTGCAATCTCCCTCAATCATCTTGAACAAGGTTTTGTGATACTTCTGCAAAAATGTTTGCTTGATTTCAACGAGGTCGCGCTAGGTAAAAACAAAGGAAATTTGCAATCAGTGAGATTAACAGATTTATCGTCTTGGAAAAGAATTTGTACCGGTGGTTACCGCTATCGTCTCGAGGGGAGATAGGTAGATATGATTTCTCCAGAAGCTTTCGGCAGACTAACCACTAATGGGACACTATCTATTGATGACATAACTAGGTATGCTTAGATGTACAGATAAAACATCGACAACCACAGCAACACCCATGACATCGTCAAGGAAAAACAACAACAACATGGGAAGAAAAGTGCTCACCTCAGAACGAGAAACAACACAGCGAATCAACGTCGCATCATCAGTTCCAGCACCCTTCATGGATTTCCACAGTCGATCCGCAAAGTATTCAGCAGGATTTCTTGAACACAGCACTGAAATGAAACAGTTTCAGTAACATTTAAAGATTTGGTGCAACATTCATCCACGCACTTTGGCTTCACTAGTCAAAACTAGTCAAAAACATAGCTGAATTGGCGACTTACCAATACATTTGAAACCCGCCTTTAAATCACCAGACATCTCGCGATCGATAGAATTCAGAATGTCACGTTGAGCAATCTGAAATCAAAAAAGCAACGTTCAGAGTAATTGAAATGTTTCCTCCTCCTAGAAACCCGCAAAATACGAATGGCACTAATTAAAAGTTTTAAGGCTCGATAACAAACTGCTGTACGGAACATGAGCCCACGCTCCGGCCCCAAAGAAAGGACCAAGGAAGAACGAAAAGCAGATGCTAGAAGGCAGCAAAAAAACGAGCCGATGAAAGCGTTCGTACCTTAACATATTCGTCAAACGTTGCTCTCAGCTGTGGAAAGCTCCTGGACGCTAGAACAACATTAAATCGAGACTCGTCTGTTCCCCACTTCTTCTCACCCGCCTGTAATACAAAACACAACGTCATGTGAAAAGTATCAAGCTATTCAAAATGCCTTTGTAACGGTCATCTTCTATCGCGCTACAAGTATACGACTTCCTACAAAACGTCTGTGTCACCTGGAACAAGTCTTGAGCCTCCTTTGTTGCCTTAGCCATGTCAACAGTGTTGGTCTCGTCTCGATTACCCTGTGTAATACGAAACAAAAAGGATCAGGAGCTTGCATTTGACTTACACCTTCCCTGATATTAAATCCCTTTCCCATGCAAGAACCACTCCGAAATTAATAAAGTTTAGCGTCCTCAAAAAGTCTGAAATTTGAATAACTTCATTGCAATCATCATCAAATTCACCCTGACTGTCAAAGTGAATTGAAGTCCAAAGCCCAGCTTATTCCCCGCAATCAGCGAAAGCTCTAGCAGTAATCGAGAGCAAGGCTGGTTGGAGAATCCTTTTTTTTCCTACTCTTTTTTCTTTTTGTAATTTGCTGTCTAACATTTACCCTCCCAACAACAAAACGAACAAATGAACCAAATCAAAACTAGAAAATGACATTTTGAACCAAGGGCAAATTAATTGACAGCATAAGTATACATGGAAGTATAATAAAGCTAAGCGCGGTAAATCCTTTACAATAAGTTATCATGTTCAAGAGAGAAAACTTCACTGACCACAGGTAAAACCATTAGTGTTACCTGACACATTGAGACTAAAAGCCGCTTGAAATGGCCGCTTGTCTCGCTCACACAATCCTTCTCAAGGTCACGCTTATAGTCTGTGCAGAAACAGAAGAATATCAAAACGACAAATTGCTTTTAGTTTCAAAAGATCAATGCGAAGGGGAGGTGGGAAAGAGGCTCCATTACCGTTAACATTTTTTAATGAAACTATGTACTGGATATATGGTACTGTATATATGGTCAACAATTCCAAGTGCTCTATCATAGCAAAGCTATTTGAGTAACCTCGTGTGACTTGAATTTCAGGCATATATTTACACAGTAATCTCGCAGCATTTTGCCAAATTTCTATCTTTATACTTACACTCTGTGTAGGAACTCTTTATTTCAGCAATTTCCTTCAAAATGTACAAAAACCAAAGTCAGTTTGTAGTTGAGGGATTTGCAATTGAGTGTCACAGGAACCCAGGATTGCTTTGGGTTTGTCTACAAAACTAAATTATTGCCACCATGTTAACTGATCTGATTCAAAACTAAACCCAATCACGACTTAGTCACTTGCGTTTTCCTGTGTCTCAAGCAGCATGCTTGCTTTTATTTTGCGTTGTTATTAGCTCTTCGAGATATTTCTCTTTCCTCTAATTGGTCATAGCAATTATTTTGGTGTTAGTTTCACATCACCCAATCAAAATTGTACTGTAAACACACAAAAGAACCCCTCGATAAACACATTGGTGCGAACTTACAAATATCCTTAAAAGGACATCTGTCATCCATTGTGCAACTTTAAACAAACAGATATTGTTCGTATTCTTGGTTGGCCTAGCCTTCAGTCTCGTAGAGACTATCTTAAATGCATGCTGGTTTTCAAATCTATGAACGGCTTAGCACCCTCCTACCTATTGAGTGATTTTACTCAAGCTAAGAAATATCATACATATAATACCAGGCACAGGGATTTGATTCGTCTTCCTTTGGCCAAAAGCACTAAATATCAAGGCAGTTTTAGATATAATAGTGGGTGCACTTTTAATAATCTGCCCAAAGCAATAAGATCTCTGGAAAGCCTTAAAACTTTTAAAACTGAGTGTAAGCGGTTTTTTAAACAAATTTAATTAGTTATGTAGACTTTGTATATATTTTCTCTGATGAGTTTTACTTTTGTCTGTCAATTTTATGTGTAACTTTGTATTGTCAAATTTTGTTTTTGCAGGGTTCTCTTTAAACTAGCTATGCTAAATGTGATGTCCCTGTTTAAATATTGATTAAATAAATAAATAAATAAATAAATAAAATATTAGCCCAAATTGTTCCAGTTTGTCATTTGCACTCCCTTTCTTGTTCTTCTCCACCTCTCACCATACTTGCTATTGGAAGCTTAGTACAGTACCACTCAGATATATGGTAAATGCGCAGACACATTTCATACGCTCAGACGCAGGATAGTCAGACGCGCATATTAGATTCTTTTGCGTGCGCGGATGAAAGAAAATGATTTCCTGTCTCTTTCGTGTTTTTCCATCATAAAGAAGTAACTTCTTGTAGTGTTCCTTGAGTTAAAGGTAGTTTTATATGGCACAATAAATTACTGAAGTTGTTTTGTCTGGAACTTCAGTTATATCTAAATCTGATTGATTTCGCATTCTTTTTAAAAAAAATGGGTAGACATACCTTGTTAGAGCGAGTGCACATGATGTCAATCAAAGCCTCTTCATCTGTTCCAGCACCCTGAAATCATGAGATAAAAAATAATCAATCTAAGGTGATCAATGAGTTATGCAGAGCTTAGGAACAACTTTGTTCCAAAAGCCACTCTGGCCTCTATTTGCACGTTAAGCTTGTTCCACTGTCTTAAGGAACAACATTAAACCCTTTGACTCCCTGGATTTAACTGCACTGACAAATTTCTTCACAGCTGTAATAAATCATCAAGCAAACAGATGAGGAGAAATAAGAAAATAATAAACTACCAAATCCAATGCAAACTGGGGGAGAGGGTTATACAAGCCGTTATCATGTAAAGTACAGTGAGAAATGTAGGTTAAATCTCTCGTCACCTTGATTTAGTAATCAAATGATTTTGAATACAATTTGTGAAGAATTTCATTGCACTTGAATTGTTCTCCTTCAGCTTCATTATTTTAACTCTGCACCCAATTTCACCTTAATCTACTGTTTGGAATTTGATTGATGCCCTCTCATTACTATGTGACCAACAGTGACGAGACAACCAGTCCTTATCTCTGACTCAGACTTGCAGAGACTCCACGACATCACACACAGCTACACAATGCACACCTGTACTTGTCTTTGTAACCTTTTATAGAGCCTTGTCAACAAGACTTATTGCCTTGAGTCTCCCTACTCCAGACACCCTTAATTTCATTTATTCAAACACTTTCTAACAGCTAACAAGCACACAGATTTGGTGCTTACTCACCCTCATGGCACGCCTCAGACACTTGGCATCATACAAAGAAGATGGTTCCATCAATGCCAACAAACAATCTTCAAGGTTACCACTAAGCTCTGACTTCAGATCATTCATTAGATCCTAACAATAAAATTGAAAAGCAACATTTTATTTCTTTCAACCTTCCTGAGGCATAAATTCTAACAGTCACACATACTTCTGCAACCTTAAAAGGCAAGATAAGAAAAAGGAATGGCATGCTCAACCCCTTACAGCCTAGCATCCACATCCATATTCTCCATACTTTCTCAAAAAATTTTCTTTGGTACTGGCAAGGAGAATTTGTTTTGCAATTAAGTTGGCAATCATCTGCTTTTTTTGCATCACCTTATTGTTTGATGTAAGGGTGATACTGTGGGGCAAAAATTAGATGTTAGTCATTTTTGGCAGTTGAAGGGTTTGCAACAGTAAAGAATTCTTGGCCCCATTCATCAGCACTCCAACCAAGATCTTTTAATACTTAGGTTGATTGACAAACTACAATAAGCTACTAAGAGTAACATTTGGTTGACCTGCACTAGGCATTCAGTTAAATCAAAGAATACCTATTGCCAACTTGTGCATAACATACTTAATCTAGAGATGAAACATGGTTGTGGACTTGTAATTATTGGTCTTGCAGCAATGCAAGGTTGCTCTTTTGTCAAAAAGTTAAGCTTCCAGAAAATCACAGAGAGATCCACAATTACGGTACCCCTTCAACTCCACAGAATAATAAACTCATGTAAAATCTACATAAACAGCACAAAATAGTACCGTAAACATCCATGTATAAGCCAAACTTTTTTTCACAAAATTGAAGCCAAAAATCAAGGGTGCAGCTTATCCATGGATACATCTGTGTTTGGAGTTCTCAAAAACCTAATTAATATTCATAAAACTTCTTAAGATGCCAAGAAGAAAACATAAAAGAAACTGAGAGCATGTTGCAGTAGGTCATTGACATTTTCATTGAGTGGTGGCTCCTAAAGGAGCCGTTTGTGTCTTCGAGTGTTTATCGGCGAATCTTGCTCTCCAACAGTTCTTTCAAGCTATTAATTTTCGCTTTACACAAACAACTAAACACCAACATAGAAGGAATCTCTCGTTGTTTTTTACTACCTTCATGGCGAATTTGTCAACTGCATTATCAGGCTCCTGTTCTGCATGAAGTTTTTCGCCTATTGCAGGTTTCCAAACATCTTTATACCCGTGGTATCCCCAAACAGCTGAGTCGATGATGGCCAGGCCCTGGCCCAGACTCCTCCCAACATTTAAAGCTTGGCTACTAAGCACTTGTTTGTTTTCTCTTCTGTTTCACTTTCTTTAGACTTGATAAATGTGAAAGATAGCTACAATGTTTTATGTTGGGGTTTCGAAACCTTGATTGTTTGTAGCAATACAACTCTACTGAAACTTCAAACTGTATTGTTTTTATTTTTTTTTCCAAATTCTGCGCTTCCAAATCAGGGGTGCAGCTTATCTACGGATGCGGCTTATACATGGACGTTTATGGTATCTTGTATTTATCAAATTTCCATTTGCAAAATTAATCAAATTTAGACACTGCAATCAAAATCTTTCTTTGCCTGCACAAGCCAAATTCCACTATTTTCCATTCCTATATAACATTTTGCCTTACAGTTGCTCAATAACTATTTGCATTGTAACACAATGTTCTTTGTTTAATGGGTTTTGTCCTGCTTGAATCTGATAACAAACCTTCAAGTTTTCTGCTTTGGAATGAAAATACCTCAGAACGCATTGTGTGTAACTGCAAGTTTTTTTAAATTAATTGGAATTAAAGATATGCAGCAACAAATTCCACAAGTTTTATTGTGTTAGAAAAGCACAGGATTATTTTTGTCTGCTTCTGATCAATCCAGTTGCCAATGTTTAGAAAAGATAATTGAATTCAATCACGGTTCTTGTTTTACATCAGATCATAAACAGTTGAAGCAATTCGTAGTATTAGGTTTGTGCCTGAACTCATTAAATTTTTGTTCACTTGGAAGGTGGTATTTAAATCAATGATGCTTAGTATAAACAGTAACAAAGCTTCTCTATTGTTGTATGTGTGGTTAGTACTCCAATATGGTTTCATGCTTGGGCCAGTTCTGAACGACTTATTACCACAATGTTTACATCTTAGTGAGTGAGTGACTGAGTGACTTAGTGAGTGACTTATTTGCATAACAGAGTCCCCATAAAAACTTCTTTGCACGAGTTGAAAATGGGGCATAATAATAAAAAGTACAATAGCAGCTGCAACACACAACTCCCTCCTTTTTTTCACCCCAATGCTACTTCCCTGTAGTTAAGTATTGGGCACCATTTTAATGAATGCCTGAAACAGGCTTTAATGCTGTCAAGATGCCACATATGAAATCAGTTACTATGTATATTCACCCTAAATGAAACTCATGCAGCAATCAGAAGGATGATGAGCAGTTCCTGCAGATCTTTTTGGGAGAAGCACTTTAAATTGACCTACCTTTCCAAACATAGTCTTGTACCTCTTTCTAATTTCTACTCTTTGAGCATTGCTACGCTTCACAAGGATATCAATGAGGGCAGCCTCATCAGTCCCTATGGCAAACCAGAAAAAACATATTTTCAGAGCAAAATTATAAGAAATGCTTCACATAAAGAGCACAAAATTGATAGCTTGATGATGGGAGAGAAAGATTTGTAAACAAATGGTCCCTTTTGTACAGAATAAATAACTGGAAACTCACCTGCTCCTCTCATGGCCTTCCGTAACAATTCACAATCAGCTTCTGCATCAAATGGAGAGACTGAAACAATGGTACCATGACCATATTTCTTAAAAGAAAATAATCGCACATCAGCAACACTTCAGTAAAGGGCTTACCAAAAACTCTTACCAGGTACATGTACCTGTTCCAGGAGCACAGTTTGTAAAACAAAGTATGATTGTGAACAGAGCAAGAGTATCTAGTAAGTGCAAAGATGAAGGGGATTTGGGTCAGGTCAAGAAGAGAGAAAAGTTTGGGTTTACCCAGCAATAATATATTAAGTAATTAAAAAAATTGAATGATTATAAACTGATACATCAAAAAGTCATTACATCATTCCAAGATGCAATTTTATTGGTAAAAAATTTTGGTAACTAAAATTGCAGAAAAATTATCTGGCAACTTGTGATTTTTTAATTTGTTGGTGTGTGCCTTATTTGTTTTTTTGTATTTTTTTTTTAATCAAAGGCACATAAACTTTTTTAACAACTAGTAGCTTCAGAATTATCTTCTCTAGTTACACAGTCAAGTAGTGCTACATGTCAAAGGCCATATCATTTGAAGACTCCACAAATATTGAAAGAATTATATTGTTCACACGTACAAGTACACATATATACTTTTTTTTGTCCAAAATGGTAACTTTACCACCAATACATTAAATAATATCATCTCACAGTGTAACAGAATATGAACTTACTGCTTTTAAAGACATTGAAGCCATCTGGGCAGTTGGAGGACCACCCTGATAAGCAACAAAAACATTTTATTAATTTTGTTTGTTCATGAGCCTGTATAAGAATAGAATAGTCATTTCCATTACCCCACTAAAGACAGAAAGGGCAAATCCAAAGGAGGAAGAGGGGAATTTTGGGGATTTCTATAGAGTTGGCTAAAGTGGAGATAATTTTGTAAAAAGCAATGATTTCCATAGCAAAGTGATAGACCTGTAGACTGTAGTTTTGAGCACATTAACTTATCTGTAGATTTTGTGAAATAAATCACTCTCCCAAATTAATTCTGACCTGATGCACATCCAACAAGACTATAATGTGAGATAAAATTTTATTTCAATACTTCCACAGTTATTAGGGATAACTTCATATTTTTTAGTGAAATTAATTCACATCTGTAATCCTTATTTTTTACCAAACAGACATGAAAAACCAATGGCGTATTTCTATATTATCAAATGAGTAAAAACCTTGTTTTCAACCAATACTGACTACAAATCAATGCCCTTGTCTACCCCTAAATGAATTTCTTTTGAATACTTACCCCGCCAGAGGGAGCAGGAGGCTTTGCTGGTTTCTGTTGAGGAGCAGAGGAGGGGGCTGTTGGCGGAGGGGCACTGTGTGTAGTAGGAGCTATAAAAGAAATTACAGTAATTTAATTCATTTATGAATGTAGCAATAGCCTAGCTTACTGAAGAGGCTCTGAGGTCTAGTTTTGGAGCATCAGAGCATGAAATCCAAAGGTCACAAGGAATCAAAATTGTTTCTTCATCCCACATAATTGCAAAGCAAAGAAAGATCTTTCTATGTTTCCCTAATAGTAATCACATTATTGTTATGCCATCAAATATTAAGTGTATGAAAACTTTTTGAGGAAATACATGTACCTTGTGAGCTATAGTTCTGTTGTGGGGGCTGATGTCCAGGGTGGGATCCATATCCAGCTGGGGGAGGTTGTGCCCCATATCCACTTGCAGGAGGATGCCCTCCATATCCTCCTGTAGGAGGCGGACCTCCATAACCACCAGGAGGCGCACCATAACCACCAGTAGGAGGAGGCCCTCCATAGCCACCTGCTGGAGGTGGAGCTCCATAACCACCTTGAGGAGGTGCTTGACCATATGGTTGTGAGCCATAACCCCCAGAGGGAGGAGGAACGCCATAGGGTCCCCCAGGAACAATCCCTGGGGAAACTCCTGAGACAATGGAAAACAATTTGCAAAAGGTTTATTGTTAGTTCTGGAAACACCTTAATACCAGATCAATATTATACTGTAGCCCTCTGGTCATTTCCAACCTATTATTTAATTAAAAAATTTGGCAAAATGACCAACAGCAAGGACACAGGAAAAATCTTCATATATGAACCAGTGGATTGAGAATCTGTGGGCAGAAAATATTACTATAATGCCCTCAGTACAAAAACAGTGTTTGTAAATTTATAACCTAACTTTGTAAAACTTTTATTCAGAAAAATAAGAGGAATGGAGAGTTTCAACCAGATTGGAGTGTTTTGGATGGTACAGTCTGGATATAAAAAACAATGATTATTACTGCACATATAAACAAAATTACTACATCCACATGGTAGTAGCAGTTGTTATGCTGGTCAGTAATGTATAAATACTATTTTTATAATAAGGAATAAAAAATCTTCTATACTAAGAATATGCTAATAACCAAAGGACCAAACATGGGCAACTTTTTAGTCAGAAGTTCATTAAAACTAATGGCGAACTTGGAACTTTCAAATGCATTCCAGAAAGATGCAAAGCTTGTCCTTTCAGTCATAATGCTGAGACAAAATCAGGACCCAAAAGATACATCAAAATTACAGATCACTTCACATACAACTCCCCTAATGTCTTATATTACATAACTTGCACTTATTGCAAAACAATATACGTTGGTGAAACAGGATGACAACTAGGTGACCGATTTCAAGAAACCTGTACAATGTACAAAGGTATGACAGACAAACCAGTTGCAAGGCACTTTGATCTCCCTACTCACTATAGGCAGCCAATGGCAGTCTGCTGCCTTTCCCTATATCTAGGCAGTTCAGAAAGCCTCAAAACTCTAGAACAAAAATTCATCTTTCAAATTGGCACTTGCAATCCCTGCAGTATTAACAAACACTTTTCATTCTAATATATTCTTGTTTTTTTTTTTTTGTCACCATGTTCTTACCGATAGCGAAGCTCCATTTTCTGTATATAGACACACACAACCCACAATTCCCCAATCGACACTGAATATATATGTATACTATTGGCAAAAGAATTTCCATCTGCTAATAGACAAAATCTATATATGTTTTCAATTCTATCATTGTGTCAAACAGTTAAAAGAAATCACTGTTTATTGAAACTTACCTGGAGGTGGTGGATAGCCTCCACCAGGGGGAGCAGGGTAGCCACCAGCAGGTGGGTAACCTGGAACAGGGGGGTAGCCTCCAGGAGCAGGGGGATATCCCCCACCAGGAGCAGGAGGGTAGCCTGCACCGGGAGCAGGAGGATAACCAGGATCAGGGGGATATCCACCAGTTGGAGGATATCCTGGATATCCCTGACAAAATATGACAAAGAGAAAGAAACATTAACCCTTTACACCCTAATATCAGTATGTATAATCTCTATACTGTTCTTTATACATTTTCTAGGGTGCTGACAAGGAGAATTCAATTAACAATAAAGACCTTTTTTAGTTGGAGATCATTTCCTCTATTCATGTGTTCTTGTGATTCAGGCATGATATTATAAAGAGAAATTGTATGCCAGTTGTTCTTTGGGGGTCAGAGGGTTACATGGCTCAAGGTGTGAGAGCATGTATTTTTTTCTGTAAGCAATCATCTTGTCACCATAGGGCCATGTGAAGCTTGTCTAGTAGTGTGCAGAGTGTAGATAGTAAACATTCTCCTTTTGGTGAAGGAGAACTTTGTCTCTACCAGGTTACTTAAAGGTTATAAGGAAAAAATATCCTATTGGTCACCATGCATGTGCACCACTATTGATTTGAGCCAATTGGATAAAAGTATGCAACATGGATTAAGGCAGATGCTCTTGGCCATATGTTGTATGCATAACATTGGAAAGGGGATAAAAATAACTAGATGGGCCTCATGATTTACAGGACAGTTTTAGACTCCATATAGGAAAGCTGTAAGCTATGAACCTTGCTTAAATGAACCAAAAATTGGTCATCAAAGGCTTTAATAAACCTATAACTGGAATACTAAAGGCTCATTAGGTCATAGCTGGTGTTCCATGCAAGTGAATGCTAAGACAATCTATTGCTTCACAGAGGTATGTAGTGCATGCATCACAACAATTACCCCGCCAGGAGGGTATCCAGGTCCACCACCATATGGAGGATAGGACATTATACAGTTCGTCAAATAAAGCCTGCAAAAGGAACACAAGAAAAGTACAGTATATGACTGTAATACTTAGCACAGGGAACAAAGTAATGGTGTTTGTCTCCCACTATCAAGGAAAACATGTTGCATAGTTAACTGAGACTCCTTAGAAGCCTTTTGGGATAAGATTCAATGTTCCCACCCCTCCCAAAGTACCAGCTGCTAAACTCCACACCACATTCCTTTCCCAATGACAGGTAGTGACAGCTAGGGCTTCCATTTACAAGAGTAGGAAATTTGCTGTTTATTACTTAAAATGATCTTCTCGCCACCGTTCCTCTACACCTGTACGTGTCGTAATCCGTGTTATGGCTGATAGTCAATTAACCAGCATTGCACATAAGCGGCGTACATGTACATCCGAGCACAACAATCTCTTTGGAAGCATTCAACACATTTTCACAGAAATAATGATCAAACGTTCTCAGCTGTTTCAATTTTCTAGTTTCGTGTTTTCCTACTGAGCATTTAGTTTCCAAACAACAAGCTGCTGATTGCAGAAGCATCGAACATTTCCTCACGTTCCGAGCAAGGAAACTTGAGAATTACTTTCCATACGCAAGACACATTGAACTAAACATTTCTAAAATTTAACGATATGCTAAACTGGTTGCCTGAACACAGATGGTATTGATATGAGTCCACCTTCAATATGTTCGAATCCTGGCCCCCCAACCACTACATATCCGCTTTGCAATGCCAAACTCCATATTACGCTATGTACCTTGAAGACAGGTGAAATCACTGACAAGTGATAAAGATAAGAAAAAACTAAGAATTATGCTAATTTAAATAAGGTTTTTTCGATCAGCTGAAAAATACTCACCAGAAAATCCAGGCAATAAGAGTAAACCTCTAAAGTGGAACTATTTTCCGCGTCTTTGAAGGACAACACAAATGTTAGTCACTGAAGCACTGGAACCCAGGGGGAGAGGCATTAACAAATATGGATAGATTGCCCATATTTGGTATATTACGTACATGTGCCATAGCCGGTGTCAATTTTATCGACCGCCATAGTTACTTTTGGACGTTTGAATTACGGAGGTAGTCGTCATTATTGAGCAACTTTAATTATTTTACATTACTTTGGGGTATCAGAACATACGAAAATAAATAAGTGAATATTTTTTCTGCTTTACCAGAAATATTCGATAACTATGGTGGACGATAAGGCGACAGCAAAAGATTTAGAATCATGGATTGAGCAGTTAATGGAATGCAAACAGCTCAGCGAAGCTCAAGTGAAAACGCTCTGTGACAAGGTAAACTTGGATTTTCTTGTTTCTATAGCTGCGATTTTATTATTGCAGAATTAATTCTCTTGTTCAAGTGTTTCAAAAAAAATTTTGGTAGAATCATAAGAAAGAAATCTGTGATTAGACTAACATGTATGTTCCATCGTTAATATATTACATAGAGAGGTAGATCAAGCTCAGCTTGTCATTTCGTCGAATATTGTAAAATTGCGCGTAATTTTGTTTTCTTGTTTAACTTTGATCATACCTCGTGGCCCATAGGTGTCAATTTTATGAGAGATCGAATCAGCTTAACGTTTTTGAAACGTCAACTTCATAGTGCGTATGCATGCATTCGAGTTTATTTCTGGCCCTGCCGTAATTTATCAATTTCGTGGATGAAATAATATTATGGTTCAACCTTTGGTCAACTCCCTTGTTTTTCTTTTAATCAAAACTCAAATTTGATCAATTGATTTTTGAATAAACTATTTTAAAACAAAATTCGAGTTTCAATTCCAACTGGTGTAATTTTTCACTCTGATTCTTACCCTTTTCACTGCTATAGTTTTTTTTGTTTTCTACGTTTGACTTAAATTTGCGTTTGGCATACCGTGTACCATCTCACAGATTATTGCAACCATTAACAATAGTATCATAGAGGAGTTGGCGAGTTATTTGAGTAAGAATTAGTTTGACTCGAAAACAATTGATGGAAGTCATTGAAACCCCTATCCATGCTGGTCTGCAAAGAATGACAAAACTCTACAAGATCCTGCCTGTGATTGAGCTCTTAACCTAATTAAGATTCTAAGGTTAAGTGAGAGCTCAACCCCAATAACCTGAAATGCATTAGGTTTTTTTTTCATGAATAGTGTTCTCACATTGGCTACACTAGTCTAGAAGTGAACATAAATAGAATGAGTGTGGTTGTCAACAAAACAGTGGCTTCTTTCTTAAATTTCCAAAGTGTCCTTAAGGAAGTGGTGAGTGTCATGGAGTTTTAAGCATGATTGATTCAAGCAGCACATAGCCATCTTTCCACCAGAGGAAGAACATGTAGAATACATGTAGTTTGAGTGGAATGGTCTGCAGGGGAAGAGTCATCACACAAATGGCTAGCTGTTCAGAATCCCCCAAGTGTTCAGCCTTCCTGTAATTTGGGAAGATAACAAATTATCTAGCTTCTCTTTTTCTCTAGTATCCCCCATTAATCAGTATGGATTATAGTGATGAACATCTTCCCCAGTGATCCTGCTTTACCTCTTGCAAAACTGTTCTCAATATCTCAAAAATATCAGCTTGAATTTGACTAAAAAGTGGTACTTTTACATAAATATATCTTTGACTGTAAAAAATGTTATGTAAAATATGGCTTGCTTTTCTGACTGTTGATTGGAAAAAAAGTAGAGGAAAGGAAATGTTTGAATATCAACTTATGGCAAATCAGTTTGATAAGCAACTGAAGTTAAACCCCTGCCTTGGTATCTTTTCTTTTTTGCTTTTGCATATTTATCTGACAATGTGATTGCAATTACTTGTAAATGTATTGTGGGATAGCATTTACTGGGTATGTTCCCCTAAACAATGTTCATTGTACCCAATTGAAATTTGTTGGCTTTGACCACTGGTAGAATCATGCAATTTTGGACTGTTTTATTTATTTTATTCTCAGGCTAAAGAAATTCTTAGCAAAGAATCAAATGTGCAAGATGTGAAGTGTCCAGTCACAGTTTGTGGAGATGTACATGGCCAGTTTCATGATCTCATGGAACTATTTAAAATAGGAGGAAGGTCTCCTGACACCAATTACCTATTCATGGGTGACTATGTTGATAGAGGATACTATTCTGTCGAAACTGTAACCCTTTTAGTCACACTGAAGGTTAGTGAAAGGGCAGTTTCTCCACTTGCCTTAGTTCTCTTTTTATCTTTTTTTTTCTGGGCCCTCATGTGACAAGGAGGTTGTCTTTGTTGATTCAAATGTATGTTCCTTTTTCTAGGTTCGTTTTCCTCATAGAATAACCATTTTACGTGGAAACCATGAAAGTCGTCAGATCACCCAAGTATATGGATTTTATGATGAATGCCTCAGGAAATATGGGAATGCAAATGTTTGGAAGTATTTCACAGATTTATTTGACTACCTTCCTCTGACTGCATTAGTAGATTCACAGGTAAGTTCGCTCTTTAGTATTTGGTCTTCATTGAAACTTTTAGCTTCATTCACAGTAGTTATACACTGCACAAGGGTATGAAATGAGGAACATATCTATCTAGGTTAAGGAATGTGAATAATGAATGTGAATGTGTAATAAAGCAAAGTAAATCCCTTGAGCAGAGCAATACAGGGAAAGTGTTATTTTTGGGATGTAAATTTGCATTCCTCTTTGTTGAAAATAAAACATTCTTTTGCTGTTACAGATATTTTGCCTTCATGGTGGTTTGTCACCTTCCATTGACACACTGGATCACATTAGGGCTCTTGATCGTATCCAGGAAGTCCCTCATGAGGTTTGTTAATATTTTTTTCATAATCCTGTAGAACTCCTTTCCATTCTTTATCTTAATAACTTCTTTCCTCTCTTTTTTTACTTACTGCAACCAGTACTTGCTTCCACACATTTTGTTTTCCTCTTGAAGTAGAAACTGTTTCAAAGTGGACATTCATTGTTAAACTGCTGCTGTGTCCAGTGATTTTAAGAAATCACACAATCTTATGATGTCAAAGTGATATAATTCTGCAATGATGAGGACACACTATAATCAATATCATTCCAAGCAGTGTCTATATTTTCTGTAACTTTTTGGTGTTTGACGTTTTATTTTTAGGGTCCAATGTGTGACTTGTTATGGAGTGACCCAGATGATAGGGGTGGTTGGGGTATTTCACCACGTGGTGCTGGATACACCTTTGGACAAGATATATCAGAAACTTTTAATCACACAAATGGCCTGACTCTTATTGCAAGAGCTCATCAACTTGTTATGGAGGTTAGAGATAAGTAATGTTTGCCATTTGTTGCACTTTAATGTTGTTGTTGTTGTTGTTGTTAGGGTTGTTATTAGTATCATTGTTATTGCTGCAACTATTATTATTATTGTTGTTGTTTCATTGAAAACCTTTCACAAATACATGTAAACTCTAACCAAAGTCCTCAACTTAGCCTGCTTGGGGTTTTCATCAGATATTGGAGATAGGTAAATTCACAGGCTATATTTTGATGGCCCATGCTGTTTTATTTCTATTCATAAGTGGAGAATATGCCCACGTTATTCCAAGCTATTCTTTGACTATCGCATGTGGTCAGGGCGTGAAATTGTGCCTAATACAGGCGCCAATGCGACTAGATTTTTCACTTTGGCGACCAAATCCTGAAAGTTAGTCACCAAATTGGTGACTACAACGTTTCATCATAACCTTACTAAGAGATATAGTGAATTAAATAAATTCGCAAAGATAAAAAAGCAGCAAACTTCCTCGTTAAGTTAGTTTCCAAAACGTAGCACATGCATCTCGATTGATAACTAGATGCCATCTTGGATTTAGATGAGCCTGAACGTTGTATATCATACATCCTCTTCACTTTGTAGCACGTTGAAGATCTTTTCCCTAACTTAATTTTGAAGGGTCTATCTAGAACGCTGACAGTGTAAAGAAAGATTTTGTTTGTCTTTGAAAATGGCAACCAACTTTTTTTGAATTGGCTACCACTTTGAAGAATTTAGGAGCCAAGTGGCTATCAGAAAAAAAAGTTAATTTCACGCCCTGGTGGTACTGAAAATTACACTGTATGTGTACACGTAAAGACTAAGTTGCCACTGAAGTTGTTTCAATGGTTGTAATGTATTGGTATCCCATTTTGTTTTACAGGGTTACAACTGGTGTCATGATAGGAATGTAGTTACAATATTTAGTGCTCCAAACTACTGCTACAGATGTGGAAATCAAGCTGCAATCATGGAACTTGATGATGCACTGAAGTATTCATTGTGAGTAGAAATAGTATCTTGCTCATAGTCTCTTAGCCAGGTTTTGTGAACTGTTTTCACCTTTGTTCTATTAGTAAACTTAGGTCACCTGTCTTTATAGTCTTTCCAGTCTGTAGATACAGTTGAATAAGGATATTTCCTATAAAAACTTTGGATTGATGATGATGATAATTCCATTTTGTTGTTGGTCAATGGTGTTTTCCCAATGCAGTAACTCAAACAAACAGTGATCATGAGTTTTTCTTAGATGAGGTAGTAATATAAACTTGGATTAGGAAGCCTTCATCTTTGCATCTATTAGGAAAGAGATGGCAACCTTTTGAACTTGTAGCTGCAAATACTTTTGAAATTCAGGAACACAGTTGTGATAAGCTATTGGGTGCAGTGCTCAAAATGCTGTCATGGGAAAACAAGGGTTGTCGTTGTTGACATGAGGTGAAACCACCCACAAGTATTTTGTGATGCTCATTTTTATTGATGGCTGATCTATCACTTTATTTTGTCTTTGCAGCCTTCAGTTTGACCCAGCACCTAGACGAGGAGAGCCACATGTCACTCGCAGAACACCTGACTACTTTTTGTGATGAAAAATTACTTTGAGACCTTGTAAACCTTTCATGGCATGTTGTCCTTTTTTGGGGTCCAAGTGGATGCATATTTGGGGATGCTTCCCAAGGGAACTTATTGCTTTGGTGGCAATTTTTTTTAAAGAAATCCATATCATTGTCTTTCAGGTTATGTTAATTTGTTTTAAACATGACCTTTCCAGATGTAATCTCATCATAACTTGTAAATGCTATGGAGGGTTATTCTAACTAAGGATCAAGTCAGCTTTACTTTAATGTCATGGCAAATATACTTTGTATATTGTAAGAAAATCAATTATCGTGCAGCATACAAGAACATCAGTATTTTTAAGAGGCCATGATGTTTGGGTGCAATCAGGAAAACTGGCTCTAATGCACAAATTCAAGTCTTGCTGGTAAATGTTCTGGAAAAAAAGTAATTGAAAGGACAAAATTGTCTTTTTGGTATAATTTTTCTGTGGAAGTCCCATCTCATAATGCAAGAACTTTTTAGGAAAACCATATAAAAGATTCAGAGTACTCAAAAAGAACAAGCCAGGCAATGAAAGATAACCTTTTTTTCCTTTTCTATTTATTAAGTTTACCAGTGAGCCTTGGCATGATGCACTCAGCCTACCTTCTGTGGTTGCCATCTTAACATATCGAATATGACCACCAGATTTCACTATTTCAGCAAATGTGTCACTTTTCTGATTTCAAATATGCCCAATCAGAAGAGGGAAATCCATGATACTGTCCTTAGGACTGCTGCTTACACAGGGATGCATATGTGGTATGTCTTCCTCCCTCTTCTCTACAAAGGAGGTCATCTCATGGGCAGAGTGGGATGTGTAACAACTGCTGGTCCTAAGATTACGTTCAGAGGGCTATTGTGAAACTGATTCTTACAAAATCAAAGTAAAGCCTTGATTGCTCTTCATGATCTGAGTTTTGTTAACCTTTGGTAAGTCTATGACTTCAGCAGTAATGTCTTCTTGCTGTTGCTGGATTTGTTCTCAGTGATAATTAATTAAGGTTTCTTGTAGTCATACTCTTGTCACAGGTTAACACTTCATTTCTCCAGTATGTAAGGATGGTTATCTAAAGTAATTTGACCAATGAATGTAACTTTACACTGTCAATAGTTAAAGAACATATCCTTAGTAGTGTAATTTTATTTTAGCCGAGATTATTAAAATATGGCAAGAGATAATTGCTTTTTTTTCTACCTATATCAGCATCATTGGGAACTCGTGGATTTTAATTGTTGTCAATACTATTTTTCAATCCAATGCAAATATCTTTCCATTCATTTTATGTTTTTGTGGCTCAACCATCTTTTGTGTCTACTCAACAAAAAATAGACATACTCCTCGCTCAGCATTAAACTACATTGAAGTTACCTGAGAAAACGCCTCGATTTAACTTTGTGTCGCGTCCTCAGATAATGAGTTTGTGTGGTTCATGGTTGGGGAGGGGGTGGTCTAAACCAGGATGAAATTAGGGGGGGGGGGGGTGGGTTAATCCCTGCACCTTCTATCTCCGCCAGTTAGTCACCTAGTAAGCACGATGATCTGTTACATTTGGTTTGAACTTAAAGCTTTGATAGGCGCATTCCGCTGCTTATTTCTCGGACGAGGTTCGGCTATTTCGCAACTACATCACACGTGGGTGTTGTTTAGCGGTGGCGGTCTGGAAGAGATGTTTTGCCTTTCTTAGGTTCACCGGTCCAGCTTCATCGATGTAAATTTATTCACTACAATCCCCAACAAAGTATTTCTTACAGCCAGGTCAACAGCTCTTGAAGGCCTTCTTTCATGTAAGTGAACAGATCAGCTCCTGAGTTGTCATTGTAATTCGGTTTCTCCTGCACAGTACCTTGGCCCACGGGGCGTCAAAAGCTCAGGCGAGGTATGCACTAGAAAACATTTAATTCTTGTTACTGTAACTGAATAGAAAATATGAAATTTAAGCGTGACTAGAGACTTCAAAGTGTGACTACTCTGCTCGAAATTTGCTTTAAATTTCGCGAAAATACCGATTATGAATGCTGCCTTATGAGAGCAAAACTACATCGCGCGGTTCACAACCAGTGGGTGCTTTGATCATTAAATAAAAAGGAAGAAATAAGCAAAGCAAACTTAAATAAGAACGCTTTTTTGTTGTAGTTGACATAAGTCGCTTAAAGATTGAAAAGAGTAGTGAAGCGTGAGTGCGTCACAGCTCAGCGGCCAGGTTACTGAGTATGATAGAAAGTGGAGGCCTCCATAGTCGAATATTTAAGTACATTTCGGCATGTTGCAGATTCGTTTTACGACTATGATGCAATGCAATCAGAGTGTGCACACCGTCTGGTTTGAAGACAATTTTCGAAAGCTTAGGTTACTCTTAAGAATCTCAAAACGTACTTAGTGTCATAATATCATATATATCTTAAGTAGCGGAGAAAACTACTAAAGGGTCTCGAGCATAATTCTCCGTAAACAAATTGACCGAATTCAATCGGTGTATGTAGTGTTAGTAGATCTTAGAAATTCTGATTTTATTTGAGTATTGAGTTTTATTATTCTTTTATTTGAAAGCCCTATATAAAACCCTTTATCGAATTAAATATGATGTAGGCCATTCTGTCATAAGCTGAAGCAGTTAAATGAATTCCGTCACCGCAGAGCATTTGATCTCGAGAAAAATGCATATCCTTATCAATGTCAGCCAGAAGCACCTTTCCCTTTGAATTTTTGACGAAATTCCGAATCATTTCGTTCACTTTCAGTCTCACTTCCATAATCACACTGATCATTCGCTTCCTGCTCACCTCACATTGTAACGCAGGAATCGTTACGGCAACAGTTTTCGCTCCAGCCATGTGAGCGACCTTGTGCAGCTGAACTAGGGCATTGAAAATGGTAATTTGATCTTGTTCCTTGCCAATGTTATTGTCTGTCCAGATACTCTTCATTCCAAACAAGTCATTTGTCCCTCCCAAAATGATAACCCAGTTGTATTTAGCAGCCTGCAATAAATTTTCAAGTCGAGGGAGCATCTCGTTTTGAACTTGCTCGCCTGATCGTCCGGCATTGTAGAGTTCAACATGATTCGACCTTGAATGACTCCTGAGTTTACTTCGAAAATACTCTTGTAATCTTACCGTGTATGGATGCGGCTCTCCGTTTGTGAGACCGAAAGTCAGTGAATCACCGAAACACAAGATTCGTATTAATTTCCCTCGTTTAGTATTTCTTGAAACGAGTACGTACAGAGTAGTTAGTGGTGATAACAGAAGAACACAAAATCCAAGTGAAGCCCATTGAAAGTTTGTCATACCAAACATCTTGAGATGAAATTGTTCACCTTCTTCAAAGTAATTTGGTTACATATTAGTTGTATATTCCTAAGCTCTCCACTCCAGATTACCGAATTCAATGAATGTACTCTTTGTCGTCGGATAATTTTTAAGGAACCCTTCTGTAAAATTTTTATCGTTTCATTTTTCAGACTCTGGAAACCTTCCGGCAAAAACACGTCATCAAAGCTAATCAAAACAGTTCTTTTCAGTTTTATCGGCGATACCTGCGATAACAACTGGTTTCGTGTGAACGTGCTCTTAATGTAGATGGCATGCGCTCCTTGGGACGGTCCAAAAATAATGAAGAATTCGATCTAAGGGAATAAACAGAACACGACTTAATGGACACTAAGGGCTGCTTATTTAAACGAGATCTAACCCAAACCGTGGTTTCCGCAAGCAGTGGGCCTCGGTGATTCTCTTTAAGAGGGTTGATTTCATTTAAATAGATGTCCGTCTACTTTTAGGTATCGGCCTGTTGACACTGTTCACAAAAAATTGATTCTTAGATAAAGGGTTCGGCTAAATTGAAGAAGGCTTAGAACGCGGTTTTATTAAACGATGGCTAAACTTTGATGAAATAACTCTAAGTTACTAATGTAGTTTGGTGACATATCATATATAGCCTTAAATGTAATAATTAAAATTTTTAAATAAATGCGGTAAAACTCAGATAGCCAGTGAAGGTTATATAAAGCTGGTGTGATATGATCATACTTTCTAGTGTTCGTTATTAATCTGGCTGCAGCATTCTGTACACGTTGTTTTTAACGTATATGATATTTGAGAAGGCTATAAAGTAGGCTATTACAATAATCGAGTCCGGACGTAACGAAAGCATGAACTAATGTTTTAAGGGATTCCTGTGAAAGGTATTTAGAAATCATACGAATATTGTGAATATAGTAAAAAGCGGTCTTACAAACTTGATTTATATGAGTATCCATACTAATTGAATTGTCAAATATCGTTCCCAAATTCCTAACGTTGACCGAAGGATCAATCGTACGATGACCTATATGAAGCACTGGTGGATTTAATTTATTTAACCGCTGGCGAGCTCCAATAACTAGAAATTCAATTTTATCATCATTGAGTAACAGCCGTCCTTCAATAAGCCAATTCCTTATATCTTTAATGCAATCCTCCATTGCGCGAATGGCCTCATCCTGGGCGTTAGCATCACCGGGCTTGAAACTCACGTATAGCTGGGTACCACGTTTTCTCTCCCAAACAGTCTCTTAATGGCCGAGAACAGTTTCCTCTGATCAGTGCTGTTATCTACAAAATCTTTGAAAAACAATTTACGTGCTTCATTTATCAGATTGTTAGTTTTGTTCTTAATAGCTTTGTATGCAAGGAAATCTGCCTTCAAACCAGTGCGCCGCCATCTCCTCTCCGCTCTGCGCCTCTGTCTTCTAGCCTCCTTAATATCATTCAACCAAGGCACTAGGGGCCCAGCTGGGATGGTCTTTGTAATGAATGGCGCACGCCGGTTTAGGGCAGACGTAAGAGTGGAATTATAGCACGACACAAGATCATTCAGTGTGTCCGGGGTATTTGTACATAAATTCGATGATGAAATTTCATCAGATAGCACATCCAAATTCACGCCTTTATTCCTCCTAAAGGTCACTGTTTTCTTTGTTACCCTAGGCTTGTCAAGGTTTATCCGGCATATAACAGACCAGCGATCGGAAATGTGGTAGTCCGATACGGGAGTTTCCCTGACCAAGTCCCCGAACTGTCATGTTATGATTACGTCCAATGTGTTGCCTGACTCGTGCGTTGGTGTTATAACACGCTGTTGTAAACCCATTGTCTCCAGCAAATCAAGAAGTTTCAATCAGTCAATTTTCTTAGTTCTCCTCCCGTTACATTTCCCTGACTGTGATTGTGGGTAACCGTTTTCTGCCAGATGGATGTTTAAGTCTTAGCAGAATGAAGCCGTTCTCTGTAATACGGAAATCCACTTCTGTCGGTTAATTTAGAGGCTGCCTGAAATGCTCCACTTATCTGTCCTTGATTTTCTCTGAAAATGTTATTAACTCAACTTCTTTTGATCTCACAGGGAGTGGAGTTTTGATTGTGGGACTATAAACTGCATTTAAGGCGGCGTAGAGATGAATTGATCCTTAGTTGATTTAGATCCGCAGTATCATGAGTCTGTCATCGATGGGTTTTGGGCAAGAGATTATAATCTCTTGGTTTTGGGTGAGTGCCTTAGGCAGCTAATTTGTTAGTAATATCAAAACCTACTCCAGCCTTTCTTTGTTGACTACCACTGCGGAAGATTGAGTATGACTTCTTTCACCAATGTTCACAGAACATGGACTGCGCAATTCGCTGAGTGCACAAATGTCAATCCGTGGTTTTTCTCATTCCCTGCAGATGATGGCCGCTGAACACTTAGGCTTTGCTGAGTCAGCGCTGTCATTCGTTGTTCTCACATTACAGGCTTTATGCTGATGCACAGACTTTCCGGGTCACGCTAAGGGGGATATGGTCTTTGCATATTTCTCGTCACTGCGATACGTTTTGGCGAATCGGTTTCCCCGAAAACTTCATCTCTTTGGTTCCTATCAGTCACTATTCAAATGTGAGGCTACATCTGAGAGACGACGCTAAATATAAAGCGTCCCTTGGTAAGATTTACGGCGGCACAGCAGCAGAAAAATCATGTTGCATGTTAGTCAACTAAAATCAATCAAGCAAAAGGTAAGGGCTTTCTGTAGATTAGAGAGGCTGCCCGAATATGGATACATATTTTTATTACATAGTTAAATCGTGAAACTGAATACAGTATTTATCTTAACGCGTATACGTAATTAAAAACAGATGTTTAGTTGTACTTTGAAGGTTGCACGGCAACTTGGCTTAAGTTGAAATCTTTATTAAAAATGATTTTCCAAGCCTTTTGATATGTGAAATCAGGGGGCCAGCTTTTTTCGCCTTCTTTGGGCGCGCGAAGAACAAAAAAAGTCCTTTCTGTTCGGTTTTTCAGAACAGTCAAGAGAGTATAAAAACTGTGATCTCTTGGAACAGTTCAGTAGTGTGTCTTTTTAGTCAGTAGCACGATGGAGAACTATCTCGTGTTATTTACTGATCACAAAGAAAATAAAGAATTGTTTGGTTTTTAGGGACGCTTTGACAATCAAGAGTGTTGCGAAGAAACATACCCTGGTTACTTTGATTGGATTACATTGCTTACGAAGTTGAGTACAACTTCGAGCGAACAGAAAGGACTTTTTTTGTTCTTCTTTTGTTCTTTTGATTTCATATATCAAAAGGCTTGGAAAATCATTTTTAATAAAGATTTCAACTTAAGCCAAGTTGCCGTGCAACCTTCAAAGTACAACTAAACATCTGTTTTTAATTACGTATACGCGTTAAGATAAATACTATATTCAGTTTTACGATTTAACTTGAACCCCGATCAAACCGCGGGCCTCGTTTTTAAGATTGCTCGAAATAGTTTCGTTATATCTTAACACCATGCAGTTGTTTGATGATGATGATTAAGCACTATGTGTGTTCCCTTGTAAATGGTGTAAAAAAAATTTCTCTTTTTAGCAAATATTTATAATATATTCAGCTAAGCTGTGCCGCCGAACAACAGTAAATCTTGCCTAGGGACGCTATATATGTAGCGTCATCTCTCAGATGCAGCCTCACATTTGAATAGGGACTGAGATGGGAACCAAAGAGATAAAGTTTTCAGGGAAACCGATGCGCCAAAACGTACCGCAGTGGCGAGAAATATACAAAGATCATATCCCTGTGCATCAGCAAGATGATCATCTCACAGCTGGAGCTTGGGCCGGCTGTGGGTAGAGCAGCTTAGGAAATAATAGTGAGACTGAAGTAATTATAATTTTCCTGTAACATTGTGCACGAAAACAATATCCTGTCTCTATCTAATATTTCACCTCTACTCATTCCAAATAACATTAGTCGCGAAACTCTTGAAGTTAGTTGTTTATCGAATCTTAAAAAAAGAAAAAACAACAACACATGGACAAAAATTAACGTCAAGTTATACTGATTTAAATCATTATGCTATCACCTTTTGAAACAACCGCGCACTTTCGTCCCATTTCACTATTCATTCACGTCAAACATGTTCTTTCATTGCGTTATAAATAATTTCTGCCATCTTTTCATAACCCTGTTTTGTAAAATGAAGCGGATCACGCCACAATTTACGGTCACGAGGAAGATAAACATGTTTAGATAAATCAGCAAGAAGCATTTTCTCCTTGCTCTTGGCTGCGAAATCGCGAAGAAGTTGGTTTATCTTGTTATGGGTGTGTTTCAGCTTAGTACACGTTCCCAATCCTTCACATTCTCTATCCGGAATGGAAACTGCCAGAGATCTCGCACCAAACATGTGTGTAACATTGTGAAGCGTTACTATCGCATTAAATATGGATTTTGAATTGTATGAAAGATTGCCTTCTCCGAGTGTACGCACGGAATTCAAGTCGTTAGTCCCAGCAAGAATGATCACCCAGCTGTATTTTATTCTTGAATGTTGCAATATTTGAGTCAAATGTGGCAACATTTGACCTTTTGCTCTGGCACCAGGCATTCCCGCGTTGTGAACTTGGAAGAAAGATCGCTTTGACACATCCAGTACTGTGTGATTGTGCAAATCAAAATATTCTTGTAGTTTGATGGAATAAGGGTAGCTTTCAAATGTTTTTACGTCCACGAGGCCTGTCGTTAAGGAATCACCAAAACAAAGAATTCGTATAACCTTGCATGTGTATAATTCAGTCCTGGGTAATCGATCGTAGTAAGCAAACTTCGTGGTGTAAAAACTCATTATCACGAAGGCCGGGATTAAGAAGAAGAAATTCCTGAGTTTCTCGAACATCCTCCCGTAAGATAGAAGCTAGTTGCCGAACTATTTCGAAAAAAGATTTGAATTCAACTAAGATAGGTTCGATGTCAGGTGAATCGGGTAATTTAAAAAGGTACTGTCTGTGTGTATTGTGTTACCGTTCCGACAAGCTAAGGGCAAGTGTGAGTAGATTTAAGAGTTTGAGTATTTTGATTTAAACCTGCGCTTCGATGCAAACAGCGATCAGTTTTCAGAGACAGAATCAATTAAGTCAGTGACAACTGACCAATGGGCAAAGCTGAAAAACTTGAAGGCAATTTACAACTTGTCTGAATCCAGCCAATCAAATACTGGATAAAAATTAATGACTAAATCTTGTTCGTAAACCGTTGCTTTTAGTTACCTCTGCAATTGCAAGCTGGCGGATAGTTGGGAGCGCATATTACAACAATTCGACAATATCGAAGAAAAAAAACCCGTAAAATTGAGGTGTAAATTTGAGGTGTAAAATTGAGGTGTAAAATTGAGGTGTAAAATTGAGGTATTTGAATTATTCTTGTTTGAAAAGTTTTTTTTAACGCAAAATGTAGTAACTTTTCTGAAGCATAATGTATAACGCAAAATTTGATACCTTTCTAACGCAAAATGTAATGACACAAAGAGTAATTTTTTTAACGCATGTGTAAATGCAAATTCTAGTGATACAAAATTTAAAAACTTTTCTAACGCATAATTCAAGAACGCAAAATGTAGTAACTTTTTAACGCAAAATGTAGTGCTTTCCAAACGCATTACGTAATAACGCAAAATGTGATACAAGTCTGTTAGTGAAGTCAAAGTACTAGACTAGATTTCTGTAATAACAATGCGAGGGATGAAGGGCTACCACTGAAAAATGAGAATTTTTCCTGAGAGGGGTGGGGTGAACCTCTCTTGTTCTGGTAAATTGACAAAAGGTGGGAAAAGTCATGTCGTCTTCTTTGCAGAGTTATTTGGTAATAAAGTATTAATTTCCCATCCCAGCTACTCCAATCAATAACAAAGTTATACTAATGCATTGCTATGCAGTTTGTTTCAGGGTGGAAGGAGAGGGCTGATGTGACGTGGAAAATAAAAGAAGCAGTTCCGTGCAAACGATAAAAGATAACCCATTTGTCTTCCTCCAAAGTGTGAACGCAACTTCAACCTTCATTCGTTGACTCTCGCATAATCCCATGGTGAATAGTCCAACAAAATTTTAAAGAACTCTTTGTCCCTATGTAACTTCTAATCTCGGCTCCGAGCAAAGGTCCAACATCTTCCTCATGGCATTTTCTTCCAGACTAATTAAAAAGGGTATGATAGGAGTATGCAAATATAAAAACATTTTATGGTTTCAGCGAATTTCTGGCACAGCCAACATATTTTACAAATTTTCGTGAATTCTTCCAAACAACAGAACAATCAAGGAAAAGTTCAAATCGAGGCTAGGCGGCTAACATGGCGTTACACTAATCCAGCAAAATCTCATATTTATTTCAAACGGTAATTTAATAAGCTTTCCAAAATATATTTCCTCTCTCAAAGCCGTTATTGCGCCATTTGCAATTTATAAATAATAAGGTAAACTAAGCGTTTTTCTTAAGAAATTACCTCTAAACAATCTAGTACCTTGTTTCAATCCAAAATATTATGACATGTCAAACTAGAGTAAATTATGTAAAATACAATAGAGTAGGATCTCCCTCAAATGATAGTCAATTTAACCAATCATATAATTTAAATTCGATATATTTTTAATAAAATAATTAAATTATCCGACTTAGTAACTTGAAGTGGGTAATCACCGACCTCCCCTCATTATAATCGTAATTATCATCGTAAAGCAACTTATCATTTCAATTCAATTTTTTATCGCAAAGGAACTGATTAAACAGTCTATCCTACAATGCATCTAATCACGTAAAAACTCCTTCTGACACAAAGAACTCTGAACTACCAACAGGCGGTCTAAGGTCTTCTTTTTCTAAAAAGTGGAGGGGCAATTTAACGAGATACCCTCTGACGCCTCGCAGAAGAGCACGTGCCTGTCCAGGGTCCTCTTTGTCGAGGTTTTTAAGACTCTAGAAAGAATATTGATGCAAACAAAAGAATTATGATAAACATATGTCAAAATCTGAAGAAAAGACAAGAACTAGTAAAAACTGTAAATTCGCTTCTTCATCCTGTGTGTCATACTGCGGTTTCACCACATTCATTAGCACTGTTAAAATTTCTGTACCAAAGAAAAACGATAAATGTAACTGCAAACCACTCATCGAGGGTTCTCAGTGACTTTAAACGAGAGTGGATCAGACCTAACAAGTATCGTCCTTCGTTTATTTTGACGTGATAACATTAGACTGTGCACGAGGCTTTGCGAAAGCGAAAATCCCATTTTAAGCATCTGAGGTTAGCTCCTTTGCGCGGGCTTGAACACTAACGGACTTCATCATTTCAACATGCTTTAACAGTCAAACTACTCAGTCTCATAACAGTTTCTCACCTTATAAGCAGCCATGTCGCTTAGTGAACGAACTTGGTCTGTTGGCATGCAGTGAAACACCTTGAAGAAAAAGGGTAGTAATGTTTATTATCACAGCGTATGGCTGTTAACAAGGTCACCGTACCTCGAAAAAAGGAAAACTTTTGAGATGTACAGTTGATGAAATGGTTCATGTATTGAAAACAACAAACTAGCTATTATGGGATGGTTTCGTCTTTCTACATTGATCTCAGGTTCCATACAGTGAGCTGCCTGTCGAAGTTAATTTCAGTTCTCGTGTGGTATGGTGTCCCGTGTTCTGGATTTTTGATGGGAGGAGATCCAGCTAAGTACCAGGAAACACCAATCCTCCTTGAATTATTACTCACATGTGAGTGAGTCTAGAGCAAAGCTGACAATTTTAAGAACGATATTGTTGTTTACGCACAACACGTTCAACCGCAAGGGAGCTCCGACGAAACCTTTCTAAAATGATTTTCAGCCTTCTCGCGAAAATGCACCGTCGAAAAATTTTGCTGCGTCCATCGTACCTCCTCGTAAATTTCAGTGTTTTTCTTCGCCGTGGCCATCCACACATCCTAAAATTGAAAAATTTTACAATGATTAACATTACCAGTTATTGATTATGTAATTTCACTGCATAGAAACTGGATTTTCAGTATCCATATCAACCAAGGCTCACCTCATAGAAACTTTTTGAGACAACATCTCTGATGTCTACGTCTGAAGGAGAATCTAATAAACCCAGATGTTCCCTAAAAAATTGTAAAACGAATGACTAAAAAATCATCGCAACTGTAACTAACTCATCTCACGAAAAGAAACGAAAAAAGAAAATAAAGAAAAACACTTATTGCACCTTTCCTCGTGTAGACTATAGCACATCACGAGTCTCTAGAAAGGTACTAAGTCTTTGAGTGCGGTTTTACTGTTCATAGGAAGTGCATACTAGGCTGTGATAGTAAAAGGTGTTTTTCGAAGTTCCGTTCACATAAGCAATAAGTCAAGCAGTAAGTAATCATTTTAGTTTAATGATAGCGATGTGTATTTTGACCGTCCACGTAATAGGAGTCATGAAATGGACCGTTGTCAATAACGACGACTGACGCCTCGAAAAAATAAGAGGAATTCATCATGAGAGCGAAAAATCGAAAATAGATCAAACTTCAACCAGTTACTTAAAGTTTTTCAGATTCTCTGCTCTCTTCCAGGATATAGATATTTATCAGGATCACTCTCCTACCTGAAGAGTCTTGATCTTAAGTTGAACGCAAACTTGCCAGCTTGATATTCCTTGCCATCCATAACGGACGGAACCTGATGAGCAAAGCATAAAAAGGAATGATCATCGATAGTTCAAACTTCCTCCATCATACTTACTACCATAAAAGTAAGAAGAAGTGTTCTCACTGCTGTTAAATGATAATTTATCAGGGGATATGATTTATTTTTTCCTTGTATATAGGGTGTAGTCATTGAAAAACTACATTGGCCAACAAATTGTTCACCCTTCACACTTCACCTCCAGGATTGACCAGAAAGAAATTTCTCCTTCTAATATCAACACACTTACAACCACAAAGGCGACGTGAAGAAAGAAGAATATTGGTCCCAAAGGACATTGTTTCGTCAAACAACAAAGTCTCAGCTCTAAGCTTATAAGCAATATCTGGGGAACAACGAGGAGACTTGATGTTAAGGGAGAGGGTTCGCATTGGGACAATTTTTTTTTATTCAATTCGGATGTTTGTCAGTCTTGCATATTCAGAAACAATAACTTTTTTTTTCGTTTCTTACGATCATTTTTGAGGTGATGTGGGTGAAATCCTTAGGACCCCCTAAAGCCAACTTTCAGTTAGAACATCCTGTAGTTGTTGGCTGAACGATTTCCTTGTCAGCAAATGTTCGATTCACCGAACCATATTTGCGAAGTGGAAATAAGACTTACAAATTCCTTGTCCTTCATGATAGAGGCTATTTCTGAATCTCTCTTTCCCAGCATGCTGCGGTCATTGATGTTTGCTACAAATAAAAAAGAGCGCAGTACTGTCAAAGATAAATGCAGATGCATAAGGTACGAGAGGGCGACCAGCAAAAAGCCTCTGAATATGAGACGAACCGAGTTATGTTAAAGGTAACCTTTAAGTCTGTTTTCGAAAAAAACTAACAGTGAAGCTGAAAAAAAACGACAATAACAAAAAAAGACGTCTCTGACAGGGTTGTTTTCTTTCCTATAAAGATCCAGTTATTCCAAAGGCTTTTTCTATGGCTGGAGCACGACTTAGACACAAACAAGGAAGAAGTTGTCAAACACGAAACACTTGGGATTTTACAAAGTCAGGACGAGAACAGAACGTGATTTAAGTACTCGCGATATTAAACATAGAAAAAAAGGACTAATACTCAGATAGTCAACTTCAGCTTTTCTTTGCAGTCGTAAGGTTACAACCACATATCATAACTGCGTTTCCATACCTGAGCCAATAATTACTGTATTGTCATCGACAAT